CGTGTTGTGAAAGTGTGCCTTCAAACAATGAATAATTGAAATGAGCAGTATTCTTGAAAGCGAACAGTACCTCTAGTGATCGTTTATGAGTTTCAGACATTATGAAAGATGGTAGAACTTCCATTATGCAAGGAGTATCTATGTCTGGCTGAGGTAAAATCGAAGGCTTGCTGAAAGAATAGAACGATGAAAGGATGCAAATGTGTATAACATACTGTATAGCAGGTATGGATGTACAAATGACGGCAAGTTGCGCTCCCATTTTGTCTTCAAAAAGCTGTAAGTATAAATCGTGAATATAAGTCTATTGTCTAGAACGTAGAACAGGAAATTGAGCAGAAACGAGGAATAGTTTTTTGGAATAAGGATGCTGTTGTAGTGCTATGATGACAGATTGAATCCTCTGAGGTTGCTAGAAGAACAAATAAAGGATTGAGGACGAATGAGATCACAATTAGGCTTGTTTTTATTTCAAGAAAAAAAATGTATGATGAGAAAAAACAATCTGGTATTACAAGAAAGCTCAATGAGATATTCAGAATTCACGTGAAGTCACACGTGGCGTTGCGTGGAAGTGAAAGTGAATGATCATTTGGCATATAAGTTAACAGGCGGAACGGTTGCATCCCGGAGAGGAGTGGATAGAAGATATGGGAAGAATCAAAGATTAGCAACAATGAGAAAAAAAAACAATGATGTTTGACTATAATATATTATTATGAAATATAATAGAATATAAGTACAAAGTGTAGTTGGGGCGATTGTAAGAAACTGAGGAGAGACTTTCAATTCAAACCATCAATCTAATTAGGAAAGAGTTATGGCCGGAAATATTAATTTCGAAATTAACCATGCGGCAAGCCATAACTCATTCTACACATTATTCATGAAGTTTTAAAATGAATAGGCGAAAATATATTTATCAATGGAGAAAGAATAAAATAAAATAAGAAGGAAGCATATTTGAGTTCTATGTTATACGCAATTCCTCCGATTGAAAGCTAATGATGTGTTTGTACATTGGAAATGCATACTAAATCGTTGTGAGTTGGAAGCTGCCGTATTCATCCTGATAAAGGAATGTAAATGGATGAAGAAAAGGAAAATGAGCTTACATTGCTTCATACTGAGAGCCTGGTTGCGTTCCTTCGGTGTTGCAAAACAGCTGAAATTTAATTTTCATATTTCGAGGCGAAAAAATGATGAAACCGTTCCAAAGCTCATTAACATTGTCTGAATGCTATCATATTTTTCGAAAGCAGGCAGCGATGGTTCGTTATAATTGGTACTGTCTCTCTCCCATTTCAAATAACCATATATAGATGTTTTCAAGGCATCAGCCATTTCAATCGTATAGGATAAATCGCTCTGAAATAGCTACGGGTACGACAACTCCTAAATATATCCCAACCTCTAGATTCATGTTGCGATAGTTTTGATTGAGGAACGAGCGATAAGTAGAGTCCAAACATTGCTTCTGATTAGCTTGATTACGATTTGCCCAGAAAATCTATCGAAATGTACTTTTCGTCTTTTGTATTCATGGATGTAGCCTACTTTCGCAATGAGTTGTTGTACAGTTACTCCGAAACTGCCGTAAATAGTATACCATGGCACATTTTCTCCTGGCAGAGAAAGAGGTTCTTGCAAAAACGACAGTGGAAGGACTAGAAGTAAATAATAAACAAGTGAGAGAATAGTGTTTTCTGGAAAGTCTTACCAATTGTTGAGAGGTGAGGGAGATATATCAACGTCGGCTTCAGCACAGGGAATATAGGGGCATCGTCATTATCCAAATAAACGCCGATGTTTTTCATTTCGCTATTCCATTGAGATTTAAGGACTTTTGTTGCCGATTGGAAATAATCACTTTGATTTATGGAAATCTAAAATTACTTGTTTACTTCTATCATTGCAATCATATTCGAACGTCAGAAAATGGCTGCCAAACTTGGTACTCGTTCGTGAGACGTTGTGGAAAAGCGACGAGGAAAGCCATTCGATTAATTTCAACTGAGTTCTGGAGAGGATACTGACGATGAGTATTCAAGAAATCATCTTTCAAAGACTCCAAGAAGTGCTTTATCTGAAACTAGAACATTCGAACGCCCTACAAATCTGATAAACTTTGTCCGCTTTCAGTCCTTTCCTGTGGAGAATGAACATCTTCTCTACGGGGTGTAAGCCAAGCAGCTGATCTACACATTCCCTCCAGCTGAAATCAAAAAGGTTATTTTAGATGAAAACGGACCGATTTAGTAACAAACCTGAACTGTGTTCGGTTATCGAAGCTATATTTGCTCAGATTGAGACCTGTGATGATTAATAGGTAATTAGCTAATGTCTCCTTGTTTGTTCTTGAGGTCAAGCCTCCCAAGTACTTGAAGTAATCCAAGTTCTAAGATAATGATGTTAAATTAATTTTTCAAAATGAAATACTTCCACTGCCACCATATCGTTATCTGTCCATTTGTAAATATTCGATAAATCGGCATTCATCATCTCACGGAAATTAATCTGAAAACCAAACAAAATGATTATTTGCCAAATAAAGCGATGACCGGAAGTAGCCACTTACTTCAGGCACTGTTCGAATTAATTCTCCTATGGTCATATAGGTTGTGTTACGATTCACATTCGAATAAATGGAAGATCTCTGAAGTTGTATACATCTTGTAGGATTCCTCCTACACCTCTGCTTACCTCATTCAGTTCCATGAAGAAGAATGCTAAGTCATCCATCATCCTATCAACATGATGAGGATCTCGAGATAGCTGGTGCGAAACAAAATCACTCAGAAGATTCTGTAAAACAGAGCATCAGTCTCATATTCTTCAGAAGCCACAATAACCAGTTTAATGGAAGCTTGCAACAGAGCATCTGTCTCTACCAGTGAAGGGTTAACAGTTTGAACTAAATTCTGTCGGAGGGGATTGAGCCATTCTTCCAAATTAGGTGGACGGAACTAGAAATAGAAAAAGTAAAGCGAATAATGGTTTGAGAGAAGAATTTATTTATGAGAAGCTGCAATAACCTGTAAGATTAGACGATTTTTATCCCTTGGATCAACATCTCTACCATATACAATCAAATTTCCATCACCTGCATACCAATTGAGCATACCAACATGTCTCTCCCAACTTAAACATTCAAATTTTATAACGAATCATCTCGCACTGGTCATTAATTCTTTTATTTGTTCATTTCTACGTAATACGGTACGTTTTGTTGTTTGTGGAGCACTTGAGACATCTCACTTCATCACAAGAATCATCACTACCGTAATCCTCATCACCATTTTCAACATTTTTCCCATTTTTGCGGAGCCGTCTCCCTCATATACTCATAACTAACTAACTTGTAAACAATTGGATTGAAATCTTGGCACTGTTCCATAATCGGCCCACATGGAAAGTTCTTTAAGAAGTTGATCATAGCCGTTTTTCCTGTTCGAGCTCTACAAAGAGATGTTCGAGGCTGTCATAATAGAAGCGTTCACCTTTCTGCTCCATCCATGCAAGTTTCAAATAAAGTTTTAGCCATTCGTGAACTCTTTGGACCTGAGCCTGGATCAGTTGATAGTAAATCTAAATAAAGGTATTCTCAAGATATTTCAAAAATCTCTTACTATAAACAATCCGTTTTGTTGATTCCAATTGCCTGTCCAAAAAATTTTTCTGCTGATCACTGTTCAGTAAATGGAACTTGGTACAGGAAAATCTGTAGAAGTTCTCACATGGATCAACGTTGTCATCAGAATACGAAGAGAATCGGAAAGCTGAAAAAGCAGAGAAATTCTAACACCATGGTCGAGAAAGAACACCTGTGTTGATACATTCTTTGCTATTGCAGACTTTGGACGACTGACTTCCCAAATTCTTAAAGCCGTCTGAGGTGATTGCCCATACAAGGAATAGAGCTATCGATAACAGAAAAAACAAAACAAAAAGTAATCCTAGCCATATGTTACATTTGGAACAGCCACTGAAATAGAATGAAACTTGAAATTGAATGAGAAAGCTTTGATCATTCCGACTCTCACAAGTTGATCTCTTCACCTGGATTCATTAGTAGCGTTGTTTTGCGGTAAAAACAGATGAAATTCAGTTGATGGGTCATTTAGTCGTTCACCTTTCATCCAAATTGATTAACAAGATGTGAACAAACAAAATGATTTGAGCTTTTTCACTTTTAAAAGGATCCGCCTTGTGGATATACAAGAGAGCCACGGATAATGCTCGAGCAAATCTCAAATCAAATACCTTAGTCCACTTTGACTAATCATGAGAAAGAAAAAATGGCGTATTTGTTCATCAATTAGCGGATTTATGCATAAGTGGGTAAGGGAAGCTCTCAGTCAACCCATCTGCCATTTGTATAGGTTTTCATATGAAATGAGCAAACTAACTCTTTTCGACTGTAGAAAGGCATTATTGGAAATATTATATTCCTGCTGGGCTGTGCAGGAGTAGTCGTGGCTTCTTCAACTCTCTCCGTTTCTTGGTTTTCTAACTCTTCAATGACTTGAGCTGGAATAGCTCGAACTTCCGTCAAACTGTCATCAGGTGGAACTATTCTTTGTGCTTGAGTGAAACTCATCTCTGCATAATCATAAGTAAAAGCATTGTGTGCATTATGAACCTTCTGAGATATTGGGTGTTGCTTGAGCAGTAGTTATTCCACTAGATTCTTGTTCAGCTATCGGAGCTAGAACTGGAGGTGGAGAAGGAAATGTCGATGACGTTGGACTGGATATACGAGAATTCATCATTTTCAAATGTTCATCGTTATATGTCGAAAAATCTGCAAATGAAATGTAATTTAGCGGAAATTCATTATTCTGATGAAGAGGTTACGGTGCTTTACTATCTCCTCACGTGAAACGAGCTCACGTATGAAGTTTCATTTTCACGTAAAGAAACGCACAGAGCGGTTGTACTCAACATACAGGTAAGTCATAATTTAATTCTTCGAACAATAAATCTAGAGAGAGAGAGAGTGAGAGAGGGAGAGAGTGAGAAAAGAACTTGAAAATATATATTTTCAATTTATTATATTTCGAAAGATCTATAGAGAACAACTCAAACCATACTCTTGTTATTTTGAGAAGAAAAAATACAGGTTAAGGGTATAGCACATGATGTGTAATTGGATACAACAGGTAGAGCTCTAAATTGATGAAGAGAAGTATGAGAATGAAGAAGGAGAACTGATCGAGCCTTTGACGATCCGTAATCAAAACACAGTATACTCTCTCACCTTCTTCTTTGCACTCTCTCAACTAGGACTTCATTCTTTACTATCTCTATCCTACGCCCGAGGCAAACACTGTGGGCCAGTCTATGATGTAGCCAAGCCCTGTCAAGCTATTTAATCTTAACGACTTTTATTCTTGGAATTGCTAGTTCTGATCGTTCATGATAGAAAAAAAATTAGTTGATTGGGATTAAAAACAGATGGGTAAAGAAATGAAGTGCGAACTCTGCTTCATCGCATCAAAGAACCAAGAATAGACTAGGAAAAGCTATGCGTGTCTATAGTTGAGAGAAGACATCAGCAAAAACACCTGTAATGTGACTTCTTCTGACCCATCCTCCCCCACCTGAGACCACTAGGTGCAGAATAACTCTTGCACTGTGTTTAAGGCCACGCCCCTTTTGCTGCGTACTCCTTGCAAGAATTTTTTTAACATGCTTCTCAGTTACATTATAAGCTTATTCAATATTTTAATTACTTATATTTGCTTAATTACTGGCTAATAATTGTTCCTTTCGAATGCTAATCACCGTTTTAACTACCGCTCACGCGAGTTTTTACCCCATTCTTCATCTTTAAACTATGATACATGTCTTCTTCCAGAAGGTTTTGATCGTATAACTAACATGCAACGTGCACTAGGAACTGCAACTCAAGCAAGGCATTCAGCTCGTATTGAAAGCACAGAATCTCACAGAGTATTGGATGAAACTACTAGGAATTTGAGACTAAAAAGACAGTTAGCGGCGTTAGAACAAGATAATTTCCATGAGGATCCTCATGCCAATCTTGTATGGCACAAGTCTATTCCGAAATTCGATGATAACGATGTTGGTGGAGGTATAACTAAATCAAGAAGAAGTACAGCTGGTGAAGATGGTGCTAAGAAGAGAAGAAAACTGCGAACAGAACATTCAAAGCAGAGATTCCGTAAGAACTTCAACGGTCTACTAGATGAAGAAAGTCAAGCGAATAAGGATGATCCAAGCATTGCTCAAGCATACATACTAGCAACCGCTCCTCCAAGTAAATTACCTCCTCGTAAATTCTGTGCTGCTTGTGGGTTTTCCTCCAAATATACTTGTATAAGATGCGGTGCTCGTTATTGCTCAATTCGATGTAGGGACGTACACAACGATACTCGATGTCTGAAATGGACTTCTTGATTTTTTTTGTTATTATTTGTTTGATTGATCTCCACCTTGTTCTTATACGTGTTATTGAACTTTAACAAATAAATCTCTTCCAGGTAATGTCTTCCGACGATAAAGCCGTTGTTCACAAGATCACGGATGCGTCCGAAAAGGTCAGTCCTGAAAATGAAATCATGACTGATTGTTACTTTAGGTAACAAATGTTTTCTCACAATGGTGGAACTTGACTACTCAAGAGAGACGTCCTCAACCAGATTCCAAGAGAATGACAACTGTTCGCGAGGTATCCATGTCCAATATATTTCCGCTAACGTATGATTGTTCTTTAGTTGCCAATATACGCAGAAGATGAGCCTAGAACGCAATACAAGTTTATTCCTGAAGACCCCCTACCTCTTCAACGTGAATTTTCCTGCATTCGTCATGCTTTCAACACAGAATATGATCGAGTCGTTGTGAGTTTTAATAGTTTCGATTCTTTCTTCTCTTGTTTTCTTCTTCCGTTTTGCCATGAATGACGTTTTCAGAGTCGATTTTCGTTTGTAGATAGAGCAGTTAACAAAGCCTCAGGAGCTGCTAACAGTAGGCGTTTTCCTCACAACTCTATTCCTTATTCCTTTTTTTCTAGAAATAAACTCATATGTTCAAGACGAGTGGACCGTTTTACCTAAGGCAGGAGCCATCACAGTCGGAGGTATGGCTGGATTCGTTTTAGGATTGAAGAGGTTCGTTTGACTTTGTTCTTCGTGGTTATCTTCGTTACGTTCTCAGAGGATCTTTCGGACGTGTTTTAACAACTGCAACTGGACTTGCTACGATGGCTGCTTTCTGTTATCCACATGAAACAGTAGATGTTGTTCGTACTGGAGTAGCACATGCCGAGCAGAAGTGGAACGAGTTCCAAGAATGTATTGAATACTTATTGGAGCCTTATACAATCATTGTGTTTCAGCACCCGAGCCAGAGTCAAAGAAGAAGGTCGACCTGAGCCCTCCAAAGTAAGAAGTCACAAAGGAATAGGACGGTGGTATAGAATAGATATGTACACAAATATTTATATGTTGTGAATGAAAGATTTCCTTCGAAAAATTAAAAATACTTTATCAGGATACGCAATTACACACAAAAAATTTTTTTAAAAGAATTAACTACAACCCGCTGTTTCTCGTACTGATACAACTTGAAGGACACCGAAACAAAATTCTCAGGATTCTGTGAATTTGAAGATGTTAATAATAATTAATAAGATTGTCACTTTCAAATATTGGAAATGACAGCAATTGTACAATGATCTTCCAGGCCAACTCTTACTTGAAATAAGGAATCTAGGAGCTAATCTAGGGCAGAGCTAGTTGATACCAAGAATGTTGACACAGTTCCTTAAACCACTTTCGGGACGGGCAGTGGTTTGAACATGTTCTTCCTCTTCGACACCTCCATAGTAATCTTCACCTTGTCCATTAATAGGGGCTCGTTTCGCACTTGGATTGTTACCTGACGATTCTTTAGAAAAATAATAAAAAACATAACCTCAAAGACCACTCACCTTTGACCTCGGTGTTCCGTCCGGTGTTGGTTAACTCGTCGTAATAATCCCTTTTCTGTCTAATTTGAGCTTCATTATTTACGTCATCATCATAGAAATCTTCCGATTCCCGTTTGAAACGAGTGATGGAGTTGGTTTCAGGAGCCTTGAAAATAATATTGTTGAGTTCGAAAGAATGTCAACAATTCTAACCTTATTCTGATCGCTTCCTAATAGATACTTGTCAGGAGAGAAATACTTCTCCAAATTGTGCAATGGCTGAAGTATGAAAGATGGTACTGTAGGGAATGCGAGTGGAGGAGCGGTTGGAGGAGCAGGAGGTGTGAATGGAGCAATGGGAGCCAAGCCCCACATAGGTGGAGGAGTCAAGCTAGCGACTAAATCATTTTGCAACTCCATTAGTTGAGGTTCTAAAGAAGATTATACTGATGCTTGCCAAATAATTAAGATTCACCTTTATTTTGACCTGTCCCCCATGTTTTTGACCCGCTAGTTGACGAAGCTGTGGCCGAAGATGTTAAAGCGTCGTAATCAGGTTCATCATTCATTGGCTAAACTTGAGAACTTAAGAGAACTTAATCTTTATACACTCACTTCGGGATCTTTTTGAATTGGAATAGGAACAGGATCAGCTTGTACGGTTTTAACGCCGTGACCTGCTGGTTTCTCGATAGTTGTAATGAATCTGAAACTCTTAGTTCATTATCGTGTTTGACAGTAAGGAGTAAGCACAACCGTTCACATCGGTGTCAACACTTATAAATGAAATGTATGCCCACTCTTACGTGGAATATTCAAACCACGTTTACCACGTGAACTTGTTGGCCACGCAAAATACGTGAACACATTGTTCACTCAATTAGCAAGTTGACCAGATACTACAGCTGTATCATGCCCCATTCAAAATGACTAACCTGTCTATCAATTGAAAACCTTTGGAAAACAGTTTACATTGACTCTCATCCATTCCTTGTTCTTTACAGACAGCTGTGATAGCTTCTGGATTACTGAAAATCAAACATAAACTCGATGAAACGCTTTAATCAAACCTGCTGATAGCTTTTCTGAGTTTAGCATCTCCTAGTACCTGTACACCTAATTGAATATTACCGAAGGCAGGATCTTTTTTAAAGTTTTCTGCAGAGCATGAGATGAACTGACAGATTCTGAAAATGAAAACATTGGTTTCATCAAACTGTATTGTTACTCCACCTGTTATCCCCCTTGCACAAAGGAAGATCATCAAGCAAGGAAGATCTTCTTGCACCTAAGATGGCATTCTCCCTCATATCTCGTTGAGAAGGATCAAGCTGATTAATGATGATAGATAATTCTGACTTGAAAATATCAAAACTTACAGGTTTTCGGAGCATTTCATCATTCTGGAGAGGCTGCGAAGTGTCGAATATCGGTCGGACAAGATTAAGTGCTCGACTAATCAAATCATCAATCGAAACTAAACACAATCAGATGAGAACAGGAATTATTTAAAAAAATCAAACTTACATTGACGTTTCACTCTTTGTGCTTCACAACTTGTGCATAATAGGAAAATAGAAATAGTTATGAACCATCGCATCTGAAATCAAACACTGGTAACAGATCATTAGAATGGTAAGGAGTAATGGTTAAGACGAAAAAACAGTTGAAGGAATAAGAATTGACTCTACTCTATCTAAGACTGAATACTGTGAATGGCTGGATATGATCTAAAACGAAAAGAACGATGTGTCATTGCCATTCAGAAAACGTGAAACGCTCAAAAGACCGGATACTTAGAAGCTAAAGGCAAAAGCCTGATGAACGCTTATTCGTATGAAAGAAGAGAAGACATATAACCTTTCGAGTACACGGAAGGAACTTAGTAAAGGTTTGAGAACAGTTGCAATGTTCAGACACATGCAATAACTGGCTTTCCATCAAGCTTGATTAGACGAGATGAAGCAGCCAGAAATCACAGACTCGATAAGATTCTGAATTTGAAACATTTGGATTTCCAGATGTTTCTCGAAAAGCAAAACGATTCACAACAAAGGACAACAATGCTCATGAATGTGAGACAGCTTCGATAAAAAAAAGGAAAAGCTATTCATAGATGAACAGATATGAAAATAAAGAAAAGAAAAGGAAATTTCAGAGTTACGACACCATCAGGCAGCTGTGAATCGTATCCTTGGCTACTCATCAACACAGAGTACAGAAAAGAAATCGCACACACAAGAAACACAATGAAAACACGGGAATTAACTTTGCGGATTTGGTTATTTCAATCTTTAGTTTCTCCTTGCGTTTTCCAATTTTTTTTTATCTCTCTTCTCACTCGCCTATCTCTCCATTTCAATCACATTTTCGTCCAATCATCTCACAACTCTCATATTTTACTTTAACTATTCCTCGACTGCAATTATCATATTGTATCAGATGAAGGATGATATAGCAAAAGAGAGGGCTAGACTAACTGGATTTATGGAAGGGAGAAGGTAACCCTTTTTAGCACTCAAACTATACAGGCCCTAACAGGTATTTAATTTCCTATGTTGTTTCATGTTCACTCCTAATTCTCATAGAAATTCCAGCTCTCGAATGTTGTAAGCATTAGCTGGTTAACCTTGGAAAAAATAGGACCATTAACTCTTTCCATTTTTTCAACCAAAAGAACAAGTAAAAGTCTGAGAAGTAACATTGAGATCAAAAGAAATGAGAAACTGTGGTTGAGAAGGAGAATGCAACCGTTCTTTGAGATCTAAAAAGAGATCAAGCAACCGTTCTATACGTCATTAACAAAGTGAAATGAAGCCACGTTCATCATGGTCACGTGAAAAGTTTCACGTGTATTCGGCTATTCTAATTATATACAGACATGCTAGAAAGATGATATGAAACGACAAAAAGAGAAGTAACCAAGAGAAGATGTTTCTTCGAAAGGAAACAAACAGGTGGACTATTTGGGCGAAATAGGACGAACAGATACATTGGGGTCTTCCACAGTAGGCCGTACGAGGCTAAGCCTGAGTAACCGCAAGATAGATGGTCATCAGCAGGCCATGACCTTGCTACGCCTTTAAATCTTGAATGAAAATGGAATTGCCTTAAAGAAATTGTGGTCAAGCAGTAGGATTTTCAATGATCATCGGAGGAATTCTAACCTGATTACAAGAACAGATGAGTATATATATGAAAAACTCAAATATACAGTTTTAGTAACTGTGCAACTTGCAAGAAGAGTTCAAGTGAAGAATCATAACGAGTGTTTCCAGAGATAACCGGACAGAGCTTATGAATATTAAAACTTCAATCTCACTTGTATATGTACGGCGGACGTGATATTGAGCCGAACAATAGAAACTGTTGAACCTATTCTTCAGGACATTCAGCGAAAGACCTGTCGAGGGGCGTGCATGATCCTCATCGTCCGAAGTGTCTTCACGAAGCATGTGAAACTGTCATTTGAATGCGGGTTTGCTTGAACAAATTCAAAATATAAATAGGCTGTAATGGTATAACATTGAAAGTATCAAAAACGATTTGACAGTCTTGACTATTCAACCGAATACAATACGCAAGAAAATAATTTATTGGAAATTGAAGGATTATGACTTAAGAACACTTTGGATGAGAACACTTGCCGAATTTCGAATCTCTGGGTTGTAAAGAAGTTGCACAATAGAAGATTACGGCAGAAGAGGAACTTCGGAAACGAATCGGGAAAGGGTTCACAATGCCAGCAGTGAAGTCATCCGTGTACTGAAAAGAATACCGTTCAAATCAGAGATGTCAGTTCCATATAACTTCGAGAATGATGATTGAAACGGATATAACCACACAGTTACAAGTTTAGAACAAACCCACTTTCTCTCTCACCAAACGCTACTCTTTAGTTTTTTCTTCAAATGATAAGTTGAACGAACGTTTGTTTTCCCTTTCTACTCGTTAAAAGCCCGAGACCAACAATTTTCTTCAGTCTATTTCTTCACCTGAACGTCCTCGTACAATGATTTCTCCAATGAACAGCCTTCAGAATCAATGATTGGATAAGAAGCTTCATGAGATGAACTGTCTGGACTGACGGTGCAATTGGAAACTTTCAAGCAGTAACCGTCAACAGGTTTGCATTGAATTTTATAATATAGTTGCATATCAATCTCGGCACCTGAACAATAGGAAGATGACTTATGAAATCAGATGGTTACAACCTTCAACAAGAACACCATCCGGACCATCCTTGTGTACTTCGAATTGACAATCTGAAGTTGGAATATAGGTATGATCTGGTAGGCGACTCTTAATGGCGATTATTAGATTCAGAATGAGAAATAGCAAAATCATACTGATGAGTTCGTAAAACAGATGATTATGCTTTGATTAAGAACATAAAGTGATATCTAGGGCGGGATAATGAGGTCAACCTCTCTGATTATTGCCTTCCTTTCTGTTGATTATTCTTCTGTTTTATTGCTTCAATTGCAGAACCCTGAACCAATAGAGCTTAGTCATTGGATAATCAATCCCACATTACTTGTTGTTCATAAAACCTCAAAGAATCTTGTCCTCCCAGATGTTAGTCTTCACAGCTAACATCAAATATCCGAAACTATCTTAGAAAGGATGATTTATACGAATCGTATTCCTAGCTGCTCACCTTTGTCTCGACCTTCAGTGTCCGTTTAATAAAACATATTTGTTGATAAAAGTATTAAAGAGACCGTTCTATTCTTGGTACATCGTTGCGAGGCTATCAGTCTCCTAAATAAACACAACCGTTCCTCGTCAAGCAAAATGATAAATGATTCACGGATTGTACGGACCACGTCATCCACGTGTTTCACGTGGATATTCCGCGAAGTCATTGATAAGTATATATATTCACTCAAAGATGTAAAAAAAGAAAGAGAAAGAGAGAGAGTAAAAGCATAAACTTTATATGAAATTACTGAGTTAGTTATGAAAACCTCGAAGTTGTTACTGAATGATAGAGATGGGTGATACCCGATGAACGTTCGAGTCAATTAAAAAATACTCAAACTCAATGATAATGTTAAGTCGAGACCGACTCGAAGAGAAAATAAAACAAAGACGATTGCATGGCCTCAGGAATAATTATAATCACAAGCATATCACAAAATGAGATAAAAAAAACTACTTCAATATTTGGTGGAAAATATTTGGTTTAAAGAGAAGGACTTCCACTTTGTTCAAACGCTGTCCAGGCTTCGTTCAGTTGAGTAAACACTGCCTTAGCTAATTCTTCCTGAAACATTAGTAAGTTGTGTTGTCATTGCAGAAGGTTTAAACATCTAACTCACCTGGGCTGTTCCAGTTTGCTTATCAGGGTGAACAACAAGACAGGCTTTACGATACCACTTCTTTACCTGTAAGATTTTATGAATCAGAACAAGTACGAGTCCAGAAACGAACCTGAGCCGCACTTAGAAGCTCGCCCATGTTTGGCTGTTGCCACTTATCTGCATCATCCCAGAGAACATCATTCAAAGATCCAAGCAAAGCACGAATATTTTTTTCTTTACCTTTGATCCAATCACGAATCTGCAAACAACATGAAATATAGTCCAAACACAAGAGAGGAGTCTTATCAAAGAACTATCAATCACCTTAATTTCGACTGGATCCATATCCCTGATTTCGTCAGCTCTCTTCAAATCTCCAATAGTACGTGAAGCATTCTTCGCAGCTGTGGAAGTGAAACCCTGAATAGAGAAGATATATTACTTGAAGAGTTGCTGATGTGTCCAACCTGACTGCTTAACAAATCTCCAAAAGCATCAGCGGTAACCTTTGGTTTAACTCCGCCCACGTTGTTTATTGTTTCGAAAGCGGATCTGCTATAGTTGGGTCTCACTGGCTTTGGAGTGGAAGTTCCACTATTGGAAGCGGAGCCTAAGTTTTCTTTGACTCTCGTTCAAACGATTATAACCAACCTTGTTTACTGCCTGGCTGGCTTGAGCTTAAAGGGGCATTTAAAAAATCGGCAAAAGGATCTATGGCCGGAGCACTGTTCTGATTAAAACTGGGTGCTGACACATTCCGATGCATGGGTTGAGTGGTGTCTGAAGATGAGAGAGAATGAAAAAGTATTCTATAACGGCTTCACTCACCAGTGGTAGAATTTGTCCAATCTCCAAATAAATCTTGCTCTGGAGCTTTTGCATTCAAAGTGGTTGTAGATGGGGCACTAAAGAAATCACCGAAAGGATCATCTACAACTGGTGCAGGTTGGGTATTTAATACGGTTGTACTAGGCTTGGCTTAAATAAATATCAGAAGCATTATAATACTGAGCGTAACTACTTACCTCCTAAATCAAGAAGGTCAAATTCTGCTGTAGGAGGCTTGGGCTTCGAAGAGGGAGCACCGAGAATTGGAGTCTCCTTTTCATAATCAAACCTTAATTGAACATGAAGGATCTATTTCGGAAAGCTGTCAATACTTGTATTTATCTGCATCATCATCTTCCTCCTCTTTTCCGACACGAATTCCGTACATTCTTTCATAAGCTTCCGCTGTATCGACAGTTTTGCTTCCAAAGCCAGAATCCATGTGGTTCGATGTAGCAGCGGGTTGAACAGTGGATGAACTTCCAAACAAGTCCTAGAAAACTTCTCAATTAGAAAACTTGCTTCAATCAACAAGTACATCTGACGCTAAATTTCTTTTCTGCTCAGAACTATTCGAAGATGGAGCTTGCCAGTCCAATGTATTGAAGAAATCGTTAGTAACGGCTGGCTGAGGATTCTCTTTCTGTTTTTGGTTCTGCACAGGAGGAGCTGGTCGAGGCGGAGCAGCGTTATTTTGCTTCGAATCGAAGGCATCTTGGATATTAACTTAAACAAAGAGGGTAAAATAAGGAAATGAGATTCAACATGCCTAGTTCTTCGGCATTTTCGACGACATGAATTGGATCGATAGTGTCGGCATCATAGGTTAGGAAAGCTGGAGGTTCGATTCCTTGATTAAATCCTCTATCATGGTTATCGATTTTCAAACCCAGCACAATTCTGCAAAGATATCGATGAGTTAAGTAGATTGAAGAGGAAATCTGGATAAGAGCTGGAACCTTTGAAAAAACGCTGGCTTGTGGCCTAAAGCCCGATACCCCGTGTGTCTACCAGTAAGCATTTTTTTGTGTATGATTTATGATGGTCCGAGCTAAGTGATAGTACTTTAGGTGGACAGATATCGAAACGGCGACATTAACGATCAAACTACAACAATCAAACATTGCGCATTAACCAAAAAAAGAGGAGGAAAAAAGAGTTGCGAGAGGAACATGAGAAGTGTTATTAGTCTAACCACAAGTTAACTGAATTTGGGAGCAGTTTCAGCTTCTGACTTCAACAAAGATGGAAACTCCGCCTTCGGAAAACAACGTGCTTCACACGCATTTTGTTAGGGTAAGATATTTGATATGGGTCTCTCGAAAGCAAGAGGAGCGATGGAATAGGCAAACACCCGAAATTGGGTTATCCACAAACGGCAGAAAAAGAATCTTCCAATGACTCGAAATGAGTTGACAAGCCTTTTTTCCAACATTTCAAAGAGAGCTCTGCTCATTGCTTTTGAAAGCAGTGTGACCAAGCATGGTCTGTATGGAGCCAACACACAGGGCAATTAGACTAGTCATAAGAGTAATTAAGGTGACTGGGACCATTTAAGAAGCAAATCAATACGTAGTCTCTATAAGGCCAAATGCTTGAAATATCCGGAAACATCAAGAAAACATCATTAAGTTGAAAAGAAGCAATTGTTTGGAAACTTTTCAATCTACCAATAGAAAGGAGAAGTTGTGAGTTGTATTTCCAATACCGGTGTGGATATCAACCTAGTTTTAGTGAAATTAGGGCGATCACCATATATCCAATATACTAGTATATATGAGCATGAAGAGATGACACTACCACACATCACAAGTTATTGAAAGAGAAGAGAAAGAGAGAAATGCCTTGCTCATAAACTCTGGTTTAAAACATAGGTTAATGCGGAGGCTCAGGTGGCACGTATTGTGCTAACTATGAAAAGGCGGGGCGGAAGTGGTCCTTCCTCCTGGATGATTTCATGAACGATTAACAAGAATAACCAGACATTACCTCTATTCATGAATCAATAATACCATTCCTTCCAGACTAATATCCAGATTTAAAGGAAATGTATTCAAACCTTATATTTTCCGGAATACTACGAGTATCCTCTCCATGAATATCTAAGTCTCCCATATGGGCTTTGACCATATGCTCTTTAATATCCCAGAAATTGGCATGGAAGCCGATTGAAAACATAAGGATCTTGAATTTTTTGAATTATGACCTGTCCAGATCCATACTTCTCACCTGTTGCATTTTATTTTGGATTTTACTCCAACGAGCATGATAAACGGCTACGGTTACATCATCTCCGACAGGAATGTCACCTAAATCAATTTCGACAGAGTTCCCGTCACTAACATCGAACGGCCTACAAACGAAAACTTATAAACACCCATAAATGGAATCCGACCTCAGTTGCTCATACTCCCTATATGTACTCCATAACTTCGCGCCTCCAGAGAAAATTTCTGCAAACGGTCTGCATCCTGTGTGGAGTCTGTTGAACAATGGTATGGGCTCCATGTACAAAGTGTTAAGGCGGATTGGGAAGTTATGCACATTCTGATAGCATATTGTTTGATGGATATGTGTTTCCATATGTTACCGTATTTAGAACATTCTTTGGAGTATTGATTACTCTTCCTACTATATCCAGAGCTCGATGATAGGATGGAGGAAGAGTCACATTTCCTCTTTTTTTGGTAACCATTTCAACAGCTTTCAATGGATTCGTGAACACTCTCGAGTAGAGCAGGAATGTTGCAGATAGCAGAGTACAGTGAACTGAATAGCACTAGTCTTCGGCATAATTAAATTTGAAAAAAAACCTTCCAAGCCATATATCAGAGCAAAACCATTGGGGTTCTGCCGGAGGAACTGCATCATCTCTCGACATATCTATTTCAAATAATCAAACGTTTGAATATGATTAATTACTTTTAACAATGAGTTGACAGTTGGAGGAAGACAAGAGGAAGGGAACTGGAAAAGCTGTTCTATTGGTCGAGTAGGAAACTCGCATTTTAAACGTCTGAAAATAGAAGTACATTTATATTTTCAATTAGCATTGTAGCTACAATGATGAGAGCACCAGAGTTATGCTAATTAAAATCATTTTTGCTAATGCAGAACGCGTGACCGGTTCCTTATTATTTTAACTGAGTGAGCACTAGGGCAGTGGGGTCATGCCCGTTTTTGACGAGAAAACTTCGTACCTTTGGGAAATGTTAACGACTATATAAGGACGACCCTGTTCAGCTGAGAATGTACGTAGAGAATCCTCAGCTTGTGTAGCTAAAGCCTCAGGAATACTCTCCGGTTGGGGAGCTAGTATGATTCGAGAGGTAAGCCAAGTAACAGAAGGACCTTTTCCTCCATAAGTGGACTGAAAGAAATGTAATGTAACCGCTGAATGGAACCTATTGACATACTTGTACGGTCTGCACAACTGCAGCAGATTTGTCTTTGATATTTTTGAAAAGAGATAATCCCTGTCCCTTGATTGCACCGAACATAGCAGAAGCTTGTTGAGATACGTCATTTCCCTACGAATAGTCAATAAGAACAAGATAGAAGAAAATCTAACAAACATCTTGTCTAGGAGGAGGAGGACGTGAGGGAGCTGGATTCCCAACAAAAGGATTGACATGGGTAGTCTTAAAATTAACTTCCAACTTCAGATTCAGAATGTATCAATACCTGGGCCGAAGAACTGTTCACAATACCTTCCACAGCCCCTGAAGGTGTCACACCCATAGCTGTTGCTAGAGCTTCGACTCTTTCAACAAGATCTTTAATAGTAGGTCTGTCTCGGGGATCTATTTTGAGGCATGATTCTATAACTACCACTTTAGCATGAAATCAATAAGACTGACTCACGAATCAATGGTACAAACATGGTGAATTCTTGGTCATTCGGAGGAATGGCATATTTAGCGTTCACTATACGAAGCTTAGCAGAGTCTTCGAAGGGATGAACCCCATAACTGAGATAAAACAAAATACAACCTAATGCCTGAACAAACTAATGTTGGAAGAACAAAGCGTTGAGAACTAACCCAAACGTCTTGTTGAGGTCCAACTGGTAAGTTCATATATTCATCTTGAATTTCTGGAGCTCTGTACATAGGAGTGGTGTTCCTTTGCATCTGAAGCAAAGAGTTGTAAGATGGAATGAAAGTTAGCCAATCACATCTTCAATTAGTCTAGTTCGTTGGATGGAAGTCCAATCATCGTTGGGAAATAGAATCTCCCTGGTCGAACTGCCAAAGTCACATAATTTAATATTTCCTTGACTATCAATTAGTAAATTTTCAACCTGCAACATGAGAAGCTTGATGGAGAAGACTAAGCCAAAGCTTTACTTTAATATCTCGGTGAGTTATGGGTTTCTCCCTACAGTGCATGGATTGCACAGCTTTACAAGCGGAGTAAAATATTTTTAGTACTTGTTTAGGTTTAAAACGAGTTGTTTTGAGTAGTTCACCGACACAACCTCCTGAATGGCTTAATTAAACTTCTCCTAACGAGCGAGGTTACCGTTGCACAACTCTGTTAACAGGAGAAACTCTGCTCCTCCAGTTTGAGTTTTTGACTGAGCAGCTTGAACGAAACGAATTATGTTAGGGTGATTCGTTCCCAGCTGAAGATATACAAGTTAAGAACCTCTCTCATCATTTGGATTACTTCTTTCAAATAGTTAATCTCATTGATGACTGTTTGAATAGCTTCCTTATCGTTTGCAAGCTGACGTTTCAGTGCAAACCAATTTCCTTGTTGATCTTGGGCAGAGAATACAACGGCAAAACCTCCTACAAAACAAAAATAAGAAAATGCTTCAAGGACATAAAAGTGAAACCTTCTGCCAAGAGACTTTTAATCCTTAAACGAACTCCGCCGACATCGACATCTTGCCCTACGAGAGGATGACTACCGGACGAATTGCCTCCTTAAAAGAATCAGAATAAAGTCATGAAGTGTATGATATATCAAGACTACCTGTATTCTCTCCTTGTATGAGATTTAAGGCCCCTCGAAACAAACTTGTCATCAAAAAAGCAAAATCTAAAACAGAATTAAAAGGGCTTGTCAATTATGGTGGAGACAATCAATGATGACTAATAAATTGAAGCCTGAACATACAGCAAACATACAAGTGTGAGTTTGAAAAATATTTTATATAAAAGAAGGGTGGGGAAAAGGAAGAGAGCAGTCGGAGAATAATTTTAAGCCAATTTTGGTAAATGTACGCAATCTGAGGTGAGCTCTTCGCATGAATATCGAGCGCTGGCTAGAGGCGCCTGCGGCTATTTGCAACTATTGAACCAGAATGAATGAGAGAAGAAACAAGTTTTTCTTCGAAGTCATCATCGTCTTCGGTGTGGATGGACATGGACCAAGCTTATTTCCCATCTTAATAAGACATTTCCGATAAGGCTTTGCGAGGTTTAATCGCCCCCCATATATGCTTCTTCCGAAAAATCAATAAATTTAATTTAAACAACAGCATTGAGTAACAAGAACAACAATGAAACAAAATCAACAATCAACTACAAAACAACGGGGAAGATGCATATGTATAGAACCGAAAAGATAAGAAAATCAATATTCTTCAAAATGATCCATCCTGTAGGTTCTGAACGCTCCTCTGGTAGCGCCAACAGCCATGTAGCCAGTGTTAGGAGAGAAACTCACGCAAGTAGGGTTTTCTATCTGCAATTAGATATGTTAGTCTTTTCTCAAAACTATACAACTCTCACATTCTCAAAACGTTGAGGGAAATTGGAAAACATAGTCCCACTTCGGACATGCATGAGTCTTACTTGGTTTTTCTGAAAATATTGTTTCAATAACATTTCGTTGAGAGCAATGTTACCTTTACAGCACTTGTAGCAGCTAGAATTTGACAATCCTTACTGAAAGATATATGATCACAAGATGTGTTCAATGTTGGTATAGTTGCCAAGGGACGAGGAGTCGAACTCAATTTGACTTCGTTTGTATCGTACAAATTGACAATACCCGTGTTAGATCTGAATTCAACTACTACTAGAATGACGATCACAAGAAAGCGAATAACCCGCAAGCTATGAATTCTCCTCTGTGACTCAAAGTCAAACATGTTCCTCTGACTGTTCCTTCATCAATGAAAGTATGTGAACTACAAGCTTTTATATCCCAGAAAGCAACTTCTCCATTAGCTAAAGAAGTCCGAGTTGATCAAGTCATGAGAAAACAAATACCTGTCATAATCCACAATTCTCTACTCGAGCCAGGAGAGAATGATAGAGAAACAACGTCTGATGAGAAAGACATTGATTTTACATGCTCCATAGACTGAAAAGGAGTTTTCTATAATGTACTCAGTACTGTAGACTTACTGCTGTTGACAACACATGAACATCGGAACTGTAACTTCCTATGGCAACAAACAAACCATCCGATGATACAGCAAAATTTCCAACGTTCTGTTTTTGTATGGCTAAAACAAAAAAACAAGGTTTGAGAAAAACGGAGCTGATTCGAGTATACATGTTGGTAGACGAGCTTGACTGATATCTCCACTGATCATATCATACTTCATGAAATACTCCTGAGACCGAGATCCACATATTAATGAGTTTCCACCAGCGATGAAGTCCATGCTTGTAATAGGGAATTTGGGAATAGCTATCTCTTGTAGGAAATGATCCTTCTTTACTTCGTTGTCAATCTGAAGTGAAGCGTGAGCAACTCCAGAGGGTTTCGAACAACAACCTTATAAAGCTGAATTTTGCCAGATTCGTAAGCAGCTATCAATACAGGTTTAACTCTATGGAATTTTAAAATACTAACGGGTCTCTTAAAACGACTGTAGAAAGAGTTAGCCAAGATAGAACTACCTGTTCTTTGTGTCCAACTTGTATATTTGGAAGTAAGCTAGCTTTCAAGGCTCCTCGAGGTAACAAGACATCACGTTGAGAATAACTTAAAAGGTAAGATGACTTCTGAATAGATGTTCCAACTAACGCTCCAGTGGTTCTGGTCATTTCATCCAAAGCTTCCAAAACTTCATCGTCAGATTCGTCTTCTTCAATCTTCTTAGCTTCTGAAACATCAATATGAGTATTCGAACAAGAAATATTTGAAAACCTTTAGCTCTAGCAGCCCAGGTTGGCTTCTTTCCAGCATTATGAGCTCGTTCAAAAGCAGATCTGAGTCGAGATTGATACTCCTATAACGTTTCTCATGAGCAAAACTATTCCGATAACACAAAAATGAAAATCATTCTAACTCGCAACTCCAGCAGAACCGGTCGCATTCCGCAACATGCAGAACAAACCTCATTCAATTCATTTCAGGTGAGCTGAGCTAAAAATCCGAAAAGAAGAAAGGTTTACCTGTTTGGACACAGTGTTATCAACGTCTGTGCTTCGCTTCAGAATGAAAGCTGATTTCTTATTGGGCAGAATGACCTCTTCCAAAACATCATCATCTTCGTCAGCCCATACAGAACTCTTTTGTGGAGCTACTTTGGAAACCTGAGCAGAAACTAGTTGTTTTGAGACAATATCTCTTTCCTTACCTCGACCACTGGCTCCTCTTCTTCATCAGATTCACTATCTGGGTCTTTATCGTCAAAAGCACTGGTTCCGAAAAGTTTTTTCGCAAGCTGTTCTTCCTCCTCATTAATAATCTGAGAATGATAGATATTAGGATAGGCGGATGGTCTTGTCGTACCTTTCTTTTTTGTGCTTCCTTCTTCGCCTCAGCTATTTTAGCTTTTTTGGAGTTTGCCATGTTGATATCGTCTGAAAATGGAATGAGGTACAGTGAGAAATCAGTTGAGAGAGTTATACAAACGAATGCCCTCCTATTTTTTATTTTCTAAAATTTAAATAAAGGTAAAGTCTTGAAGTATGATGTGAGTACGCAATTTGACGCTGCAATATGTGACGCACAATAAGCATTCTACTGTAGACATAAATTAAGTTTGATAAAATGCTTGAATTATCATGCTTTTCTATGAAATTTCTACGTTTACTGTTGCAATTATTATCTTTTATTATTGCAGATCAAGGGTATGAATAGAGCCGACTTCTCTGTTGGCGACGTTCTATGTGATGAACCACTAGAGAAGGAATTCGCTGCTGAAACGGTCACAATTCGTCAAACCAAACATCGTATCATCCGAGAAGCTTATGAACTCTTTTCTACCCATTTTGGAGCTACTCCTCTTAACGAACTTCATTCATCAATAGCTCCAGCGAGAGTTAATCTCATTGGAGAGCACATAGATTACTGTGATGGATTCGTGTTACCTATGGTAGGTAGCGTCCTTCTTCATTTGATTCTAATTTTGATTCAGGCCATTCCACTTTACACGGTCATAATAGGTAAGAAGAAGCAGGAGGGATGTAAATTAACGCGTATATATTCATCGGCTTATAATAAAACATCCGAATTACACTTGCCATATCAACAAGACCATGAGGTATATCTAAGCTGAGCTTGTCTTTGATTCTTCTTATTCATAGGATTATCCCAAATGGATCAGCTATATCAGAGGAGTCCTAGCTCTTCATAACTGTGATGCTTCTTTTGATGCAGTTGTACATTCTGCTATTCCGCTGGGTAGCGGATTAAGCAGCTCTGCAGCTTTAGAACTTTCCACATCTCTTTTTGTCAGCCAAATATATCCAAGTAGTTATTCTAATTAGAAACACGAGTTGTGAATTGCTATCTAGATGCCTCCATATCGTCTGTTGAACGAGCTTTATTGTGTCAGAATGCTGAACATCAATATGCACATGTCCCATGTGGCATAATGGATCAGTTCGTGATCGCTTTGGCTCAGTTCCCGTGTGCTTTAAAAATAGATTGCAAGTGAGTGCTAATTCGTTGACGTCGTAGTTAATATTCCGCACAGGTCCTTGGACTACGACTTAATCCCTATCGATTTTTCTCAAGATGCAGTATTCGTAGTAATCAATTCGGGTGTTAAACATACTCACTCGGAGGGAGAGTATGGCAAACGGAGACATAACGTAGAGAAAGCTTTAACTTTGTAAGTTTGATTCCCCTCAATTGTTTCATTCAATCATCTCATTGTTCAGAATGGATTGTAAGTCCTGGAGAGATGTAACTCGTGAACTAATTAAGACGAAAGAAAATATTTTAAAAGACTTCCCTGATATGACTGACAACTCTTATCATGTGGTAATGGGACACTTCCTCTCTATCCGTTCTCATCCAAAGTACTTCAGGTCGAAGAAATTGAACGAACGGTTAAAGCGGCGGAAGCCCTGTTAGACAACAACATAGTCATGTTCGGGAAGCTCATGACAGAGAGTCATGTCTCTCTAAGGTATTTCTATTCCTCATAAGGCTTCGCTCACCGAACTCCCTTCTTAGAGACAAATACAAAGTTTCATGTGTCGAAATCGACGAACTCGTAAGATTATCTCTCGAAGTGAAAGGAGTTTTCGGTTCTCGAATGACAGGTTCGTCTTGGTAGAACATGACATCATGAACAGTTTCGTTGCAGGCGGAGGCTTCGGCGGTTGTACAGTAACTCTTGTTCGCAAAGAAAACGTGTCAAATTTAGAAAACTATATTAAAGTGAGGCTAGTAGTAAGAGTTTCTGCGTTACACTCGTCATTTGCAGGAAAACTATAAGTATGCTACGCCTATCACATTTGCTTGTGAGCCAGTGAAAGGAGCGGAAGTGGCTGATTTGAATTTCTTGAGCTGAATGTCATAGATACTAACCCTAGTCCGAGCTGCCTTTACAGAACTTTTACGTGGTAAATAGAAGAGAATAAATTATTTTTATTTAACTTTTGAGAAAACAGGAACACAGACAAAGAAAACCCAGAGTGAGACTATGTTGTGAAGAAAGTATAAGGGAGACTTATAAATAGAAAGAGTTAAACGAGAACAAAATAATAACCTAAGGAAAATAGAAATGCTTAATTTGAAAAATTTCGAGCATAATACAGAGAGAAATAGAAAATATGTTACCATCTCTTCTTGTAGTCGTCAACTGACACTCCTCCGGGACCGTAGGAAATGACCAGAAGAAGACCTCCAATAACAGACATCGTTTGGAAGAAATCGTATTTCATGAAATCACGGTAGAAACGATCAGCAGGGACGGTCCACCTGAATAACAGTTTCATATGGTGCTGTGAGAGAGAGAGGAACTTACCAAGCATTGAGCCAGAAATTAAGGAAGAACAACCAAGCGACCAAGACCATGGAAGACAGTTTTGTTTTGTAACCGATGGAGACAAGGGTAATCAAAGCAAATCCGACAACAATCTCAATAACCTGAAGAATGTTGATTTTAGAAAAAAAATAAATATAATTAGCACACCTGAAGGAAACTCATCTCGAAATGCATCAGAGTGATGAACATGAAGATAAGAAGAACACGTCCAGCCAAAAGCATGTAAGACTTGGGCTGAAACCACAACGTAACTATGTAACAAAAGCTTGATTCTACCTTGTTCTTCTCTCCCATAGTTGGAACTCCAGCGAACAGAGATGATTTTTCCTCTTGAGTCTCGGCGAGAAGAAGCACTAAACCTCCACCGACAGCCACGTTCCTTGAAATGAGAGAAGTTCAGAGAGAGGATAATGAAACAAGGAATACCTAGCTAAAAACTTCAAGTCCCAAAGAATGTGATAAGCAACAGTTTGGAGAGCAACAATGGACGCTAAAATGGCGCAAGAGATGGTCACCTGAACAAAGAAACTTGTGAATGGTAAAGATCAGGATCAAACCTTCTTTCTCAACATGATCATGAGGCAAGGAACCATTTGACCGAAAAAGTTATAAACAACAAAGAGTGTTGCTAAGAACCATCCACAAGACCAGGACTCCTAAAACAATGTGGTTAACAAGGGATGTGTGTGATATCGTTTACCTGCATGAATTGTCTTTGATCATCCCATTGGAAATACATACGAACTCCATCTTCCAAGAAAGTGGATACTAAGCAAAGGCGAGCAACATGGGGTAAAAAATGTCTCGTTCTTCGAAGAATCTAGATATATCAAAACATTAATAGAGAATTGATTTCTGAATGCTTACATCATCAGCGAAATCTTCCGCTCCCGCGAAAAGTTCTCGCTGGCCACCTGCGCGGAACTGATCCATTTACCTGTAATAGCAGAGAGTAGGATATGTTTCATGTGATAGCCGATATATATAGAGAGAAGTGATAATCGGTAAACATTTCGAAGAGACATAAAACAGTGAGAACTCATCTCACGCAGAAGCAATAGTGTAAACAAAAATTTTCTGTGTTTGTCCAGACTTTGAATATTTATAAAGAATAACAGATAGACTCGTTCCAAATTTCAAACGAATCGAAACAGGCGAATGTTCATCTTAGAGGACATAATGCGGCCAAGTGTAAAGTTTAAAAGAAATAACAGAATATGCTGGCAATGCTTGCAAAGAAATATTTTCACCCATTCCTCATTTCTTCATTATTGTTCGAGTCTAGCCCTCCAAAAAAGGAAGATAATAATCTGAAGGAAGCACAATTCAGTTGAGGTCGTACAGACATGCAAAAGGTAACGCGGCAACTAAACCACCAAACTTAATAAAAATCCAAACTACAACGGAAGTTGGAGTTTTATAACGAATTTGATCTCGTACTAATTCACTACTAGTAGTCTAGCGGGAAATTCTTTCTTCATCGAATTTTTTTTGAAAGTGAAGACGAAGCTAGTGAAGAGATGTTTTCACTTGTTAACGAATGTTCAAAAAGTTATTCAATTAGAAACAAGACATGCAGTACTACATCACTCTCTCGGCCATGGAAGTCTTCATACTCATCAAACACACATTAGATAACTTTCAACAAGAAATTCTTATAAACTCAGTTTTGTGTGTGTGAACATGTTTCAAAGTGCATCGCAAAACTTCTATAGAACCATTAGAATTCATGATGAATCTATCTAGTTCATGCTTAAATCAAAAAATATCATCGAAAACAATTACAAACCGGTTAGATGTTCAAAGAGAAGCAATGGGGGTGATTATAATCATGCTCAAAAAAGCACATTAATCGCACTAGCCGCGACGCAGAACGCTCGCGAGCTGATGTGTCTGTGGCCGAACAAGACTAGCGGGCCGTCGAATGGTGATGGCTGGTTGTCTTGTTGGATGGTTAGTCGGTGAGACCCACTCTATGATCGGAAGAGAGACGTCACCCGACTTACGGAGAAGCTATTTAGGACCATTCATTTGTATACTTTTGTGTCTAGAAGTAAATTGTCGAAGATAGCAGGGTTGATGAAGCAGGTATCACACAATTGTCAGCTGTCAGCATTGGGTATGTTGAATCTCGGAATTAATGAGGAGATAGATAAGGTGGAAGAATAAGAGTCACATAAAGAAGTAGTTTAGGTTGTACTCTCGCATTGTAGCCCCAAAGAGATATTTTGAACCTAAAGAACTTGCACGCGTGTGGTCAGCTATCCTCTCATCTCTCGGGGGGTGGTAAATGAACATTAAACAGACAGAGTGTAGAGAGAAATACGGCTCCTTTGGAGTCTCTCCTATTCAACATTGAACTCGAACGGTTTGCTCTCGATAATTCGCTCCTCAAGAAAATTTTCTGGTGAAATTGAAATTTGCACACACACAAGCCCACACACCAAATGACCATTGATGTTTGCTTTAAAAACGAAGACTGAAAGAAGAAAGCTCTAAAAGGAATGAAAAAAGTAATTAACATGCAGTGAAATGACTTTAAAAGCTAATTTATAGAATAAGCGAAAAAGGAGCCTTATCAGCAAAATGTTATAAATACATAGAAAGATGCATGGACAGCATATGTGCAGTCACGCAATAAGAGAAAGTGCGGCAAATCACTTCAACTTATAAGGAAAATAAAAAACGAGATTCGTAATTAACAGAAATAGAAAGATGGTTGTTATTTGAGGATCAAACAACATTCATAGATTGAAAGTATCAAATCCAAGTAATTATTCTTTACTTTGAAGAGAATAAGAGATAGAGAGAGAATGAGAGAGATAGGAAGATATAGAGAGAATGAGAGAGAGAGGGGAAGATATAGAGAGATATGGAGGAGGAATAGTAAACGAAACTTACCTCTGACATACACAGCGAATTCACAACCGCTACTCACAATGGACTAGTTCAAAATGAATCTACGCGCAAAGCCTATATGTAAGCGTGTGTGTATGTGCAGCAGACCTCATTAGCATAATTGAAATAAATAATAACTCATATTAATTTGAATATCTATAGCGTAAGAATTAGAATATTTTTTGAGAAGCTAACATGAAACAGAGTGGCAGAACGAATGAAACAAAATCTCAGCTGGAAGATGTTGTTTCACGTGTAAGTGACGATTCCGGTTCGGAGCTTGCTTGCTTATGTCTTTTGGATGATACAAGTTGAATGATGAAGTCTGTTGACCATCTGGTTAGAAGAGATGCTTTCTTTGCATTAATATAATGAAAACAATAAGATATACAATAAACGAATTGATGAGATGGAAGTGTTGCGAAGTGTATGATGAAAGAAGTTGGCACAAAAACCGACAATGTGCAAGTGTTAGGATTTGGAAGATTGCTTGTTGAAAGAAGTGGAAGGATAGGATAGTGACCAATACAGATGTGAGAGATGCAAGACAGTCATACTAATTGATTAACAGAGGAAAGGAAACGACTTTCAGACAGATGCACCACACCAAGTACAAAGAAGAGAGAACGCAACAAATGACAGAAAGAGAGATTTTGTGAAGGAATCTCAAAATACGCCAGAGAAATAAGACAAAGGATGACGGTTTTGTGAGAGCGACAAATAAAGTTCAATCGAGAGGCTTTGTGACTATTTCCAATGTTTCGATTGGCCTAAATAGGAGTTGTAGTTTGATCACTAGCAGTCATGGCAGCAGATTTCGCTAATTTAAGAAATTGTGTGCGTTTGGCTTCATACCTGGCTTCTCAGTGCCATACGTGTTGATGATGTGCGGGGTAAATGGATGAAGTTGTGAGTCAAGATGAAGAATGAAAACATCTTCCGGAAAATAAATTTGGAATGTGACAAATCGGAATATGAAATGTTGGTCTGTCTTATCACATTTCGAATAATAATAAAAAAGATTTTTTTACAGTTTCTCCGAACCATGTTGTTTCCCACCTTTCAAGCTTCTCGCCGTTAAGATCAAAAAGACGAAATAATTTCAGTTCCCTATCACCTTTTGAATAGCGATAGATGTCTTTAGAAGGTGAAGCTTGATTGGATTGTACCTGCGTTTGTACTATGCATCATCATTCTAAAATGTTTAACCAACCCATGTATTTTAGACTTAAAGTTGACTAAAGGAAGCTGATATAAAGTGGCGACGTACTGATAAGAGTTTGCTCGTTTTCCTTATTAAGCCACCGCGGGTAGAGGGCGAAGGCTGAACACAACCATGGCGAGGTCTACTCCATGGCTAACTATATTCTCTTTGTATTTACTTGTACATTCATCTATAGCAGTAGGTAAAGCTGATGATCTAATCAAATCCTTACCTGGATTATCCTTTGTTCCCAATTTCAAACAGTATTCTGGCTATTTGGATGCATCTGCTGGAAATCATCTCCATTATTGGTAAGTTGAAAGTATGAAACATTCATTGCCTTTCCATCTCTCTCTCTCTCTCTTTCTATTAAATCTAATTCCTAATTCCTAGTCATAAACCTTGCTGACAACTTCATAGTTCATAGTGACAGCCATCATCTCCTCTATTGTTGTATATGCTTGTAAGCTTATGCTCAAGTTGTATTCTCCAATTTGAATAATCTCTTTATCAAAGCATTGTCTACATGGGTTAAACGCCATGTTATTCTATCAGAAACATGTAAAGCGCTTATAAGCTTAGATTATCAATTAGTGTTGATTACGGTTTGTACAATAGATGGGTGGGGCTGTGAAAGAGAGTAAAGTCAAAGGTTTTGCGAGAGAACACGACGCGTTTATGTTTGTCATCACAAAAGTCCAACACAGAACGAAAAGGCCTTTAAAAGTTTACTACATGGTCATCAATTTTTGTAGTTTACCCGATACAAACACATCCTGCCATCTATCCCAGAAACGGCGTTGTCTTCAAAGCTATCACTCAATTTGTTTATTTTCATAACTATCACTTTTCTATTTAATCTACTTATAACGCCATTATGATGAGTTAATTGGGTGTACAGTTGACTACACACTACGTGGCTTCTGATAATGAACATCTCTAGTTGTAACTTACATGATAAAATTATGTAATTTCATGAAAAATGATGAAAAAGTGAATGGAAAGTGATAATACCGAGAAATTGATATCGTATGAACTATGATGTAGACTTCTGGAACGTTTAACATATTACCAACTTGCAGGCTTGTTGAAAGTCAGAATGCACCTTCTACTGCTCCACTTTTGTTGTGGCTGAATGGTGGACCTGGATGTTCATCTTTGGGAGGCTTGTTCACTGAGCTTGGTCCATTCAGAGTTCAACCTGATGGAAAAACACTTGTGGAAAACGTTTATTCATGGAACAAGGTTTAATGATAGATTATACAATGACTTTACACGGTTATCGGCTTAGATGTTCAACGTGTTGTTCCTTGAAGCTCCAAGAGATGTTGGTTTCTCATACCGTGATTCTACCACTTTTGGAAATGATACCGTTTATAATGACTATAAGGCAAGTCGTACTATGTCTATAAAATATATGAATCATTGTTTCAGACAGCCAACGATAACGCTTTAGCTCTTAAATCTTTTTACGATCGCTTCCCAGAGTACAGTGGAAGAGCTTTCTTCATCACAGGTAATAATGTTTGCAACAGTATTATGAGTCATACAACCGCACTCCGCAACAACAACGAATGGAAATGACTTGACGCGCGTTTTCTTAATTAGCATAAATTAGCATATTGATTATCAGGTGAATCCTATGGAGGTGTTTACGTGCCCACGCTGACTAATCTCATCATTACCATGATCAAGGTAACCGGAAGATGTGGGATGAGGCCTTACTCTTTGTTTTAAGAATAATACTTTACCAAATGTTAACTTGGTTGGTATGGCTGTTGGTAATGGAGAGTTGAGTGCATACCAACAGACAAACTCAGCTATCGACCTCTTGTACTACAGAGGAATGATTGGAACACAGTAAGGAACCAGTGATCTTTCGATCTATTTTGAATGCTTGCAGAGAGTACAACCAGTTCTTACCTTGCTGCCAAGCAAACACCGGAGCACCTTTGTCCTATTGTGACTTCTCTCAATACATAACTGTTGGAACTTTCGGAGACTTGCTCCCAAAGAACAACACCAACGATCCAGTAAGAAACCAATGCGCTAATCTTGTCTCTAAGTATGCTGAAGATCTTGTCTGGAACACTTAGTAAGCGTAGAAGAAGTTTCAAATTAGAGTTCTTTTTTCTTCAGCAATGATGTATACAACTCCTATCAAGATTGTTACAACTTCACCACTGCTCAAAGCTCATCAGAAGTATGTCTTAGACACTGTTAACTGATTAAAATTTATCCATTTCCAGAAAACTGCACGTAACCGTGCCTTCAAATCGGTCATGGGTTCAAAAACTCTTCGTAGCTTTGCTAGAACTAACTTCGACGCTATCGTTACTTCTTCCGCGTCATCTTCCAAGAGCAGTAATCCGTTCGTCGACCAAGGAGTACGTGAATATTTTCACAAAATCAGATTACATCACTCTTAGAAAAGAAAAGATGATAAGATGATCTTATCGGAATCCTTTGCAAAAAAAAGCTAATCGTATTGTTTCTAGTCTCTCTTCAATGCACAATCAACGGATGCAACCGGAGGCTTTGCATGTTACATGGATGGTGCTACCGAAACATATTTGAACCTCCCAGAAGTTCGCAAAGCTCTTAACATCAACTCACAATCAGCCTACTGGACCGATTGCAAGTGAGAACAATAGAAGCTTAAGCCTGTTATATATCCTTTTAAAGCATTCCAATGAACTCACAATGGTATACCCAACAGCATCATGATATGACCGAGGTCTTCAACCAGATTCTTTATTCTAGTAAGAGTTATCGTTGAAGAAGTAATACAAGATTGGCTAACTTCAGATTATAATCTTCGAATGCTCATCTACAACGGAGATGTTGATATGGCTTGTAACTTCCAAGGAGATGAATGGTTCATTGAGAACTTCGCTAATATCAACAGAGTATAACGTTTCCAAACAGAAGCCTTCTTAAACTATTTCCTGCAGATGACTTCTGGTGTACGTGGCCAATGGCGTTTCCAGAAGCCTAATGGTACACCTGTACTAGCTGGTTATTACAAGAACTTCAACTATAAGACTTCTCTCAATATCACTTTGATGACTGTTAAGGTTTGTTTTGTATCTACTGAGCCACCTAATGCAGAGATTTTCCAGGGAGCTGGACACTTCGTTCCACTGGATCGTGCTGGACCATCTCTTCAAATGATTACCAACTTCGTCCATAATTTGTCAAATAACCAATCTTTGGCTTTCGATCTCACTCCTCAGCCTCTTCTCGCTCAATATACTCCAGCCCCTCAGCCATCATGTAAGATTTTAGTCAAGTTTCACCCACTGACTATTATTTTTAGGGACGAGAAAACAGGCTGACCGTATTTGGAATTTACCCGGCTTAACCTATAACATCAACTTCAAGCAGTACTCTGGTTATCTTAGCGGTGTTCCAGGAAATTCTCTTCATTACTGGTATGGTTCATTTTCTTAATTTGCCAACATTCTTGTTCAGGTTTGTTGAGTCTCAAACCAACCCAGTAACTGACCCCCTCGTTCTTTGGCTCAACGGTGGACCAGGTTGTTCTTCATTGATGGGCTTCCTTTCTGAGTTAGGTCCATTCCACCCTAATCCTGATGGAAAAACTTTGTTCGAGAACATCTACTCGTGGAATAAGGTAAGCAATGACGAACTTCATATTTAAATGTTGATTTCAGGGAGCTAACGTTCTTTTCTTGGAAAGCCCTCGTAATGTTGGTTTCTCATACCAAAACAAATCTGTCAACACTGATACCGTTTATAATGATGAAAAGGTGATTACACTGCTTATGACTCCAGACCATATAGCTTATAGACTGCTTGGGACAGTTTCTTGGCCTTGAAGGATTTCTTCTCTGTCTATCCTGAATACAATGGCAGACCTTTCTATGTTACAGGTAGGTAAGATGCTTAGACTTATATACGGTACATTCAGGTGAATCTTACGGAGGAGTATACGTTCCCACTCTCACTTCTCTATTGATTGATCAAATCCAAGTAAGCTGAGATGGAGTTTCTACAAATGCTACTCTCTTAAGGCTGGAAACTTCTCTGGTTTGAACCTCGTTGGAATGGCTGTAGGTAATGGTGAATTGTCCGCACTCCAACAAATCAATTCCGCCATCCACTTGTTGTACTTCCACGGTATTTACGGAAAAACGTAAGTATACGAATGCTTGAGGAGTTAACTCCAAATCATCAATTCAGTGAATGGGATCAGTTGCAACAGTGTTGCAATGCTACTACTTCGGATCCAAAGTGGTTTGAGTATTGTGATTTCTCGCAATACATCAGACTCGGACCTGACGGTACCGCTTACCCCATTGATCAAGGAGGAGTCTGTGGTCCACTTGTTGCCTCTATGGGACAAGATCGTCTTTGGAACACCATGTAAGCACAACATTGAAGCAAACGGAGTCATATTGCTCATTCAATTTCCAGCAATGATGTTTACAACATCTATCAAGATTGTTATGAACAGAACTCAACTGTGTTCGGTTCCCGATCGGTAGCTTCTCACAAGGCAGCCTACAAGAAGAAACTTTTCGCTGCCAGTTTCGTCGATCAAGGAGTAAGATATTCTAAACCAGAACTTGAAAATATATCACTACTTAGGCTAAAATGTCCGAAACACTAGTATCCACTGACAACCAAGGTGGATTTGTATGCTACGCATCGAATGCTGCTGCCCAATACTTGAACACCAAGGTTATCTTGACTGCCCAAATACTCAAAATACTTTCCGTTTCAGGATGTGAAAGATGCTCTCCACGTAAACTCTGCACTAGTTGGTAACTGGTCCTCTTGCAAGTATGTTTCTGAATGTTATACCTCTATTTTAATATCATGCATTATAGTGATGATATCAATGCAGCCTACATCCAACAGCATAACGACACTGGCAAAGTTTTCGACCACATCATCAAGTGAGTAGTAGTCTTAAGCATTTTTGAATAAAAAGAACCACCATTAGATCTGGTTATCCACTTCGTATGATGATCTATAACGGAGATGTCGATACTGCTTGTAATTTCCTTGGAGACCAATGGTTCATTGAGGCCGTTGCCAAACGCTGGGGAATGTCAGTCAGCAAGGATTTCAATCAATGGAGATATTCCAACCAAATTGCTGGTTATGCTAAACAATTCAAGTTCGCTTCCGGAAGTATCGATCTCGTAACTGTCAAGGTATTTCATGGTTCAAGCGACTTGATGAATAATTAATATTACAGGGAGCTGGACATTTAGTTCCATCAGACAGACCAGGACCTGCTCTCCAGATGTTCACCAATTTCCTCAGATCTCAAGATTTCAGTAACCCTGCTCCTTATAACACTAATTTCACACCTCTACGTAGTGATTTTGATAGAAGAGAAAAGGTTTCCACCGTTTTCAACAAAATTTAATGACGGTTTTCCTATTCAGTTGGCTGCTTTAGTTAAAGCTCAATCTTCTTCTCCTGCTGCTGCAGCCTCTTCGAAATCTTCTGGAAGTTCGATTCGTAAAGGAAGACTTGGCTTGAGACAGAGAAGTGTTCGCAGAGCTCGCGAAAACAAAGATGATTTAACCGTACGTTATTACTGTTAATCTCAATTTCTAGTATGTAACTTGCAGAAGAGAGCCAAGAGAGATGTTACTCCAGCTCCACCCCCACCTCCTAAAGGAGACAAGAATGCTGATCTCATCCTAGATCTTCCTGGTTTAACCTTCACTCCTAATTTCAAGCAATATTCTGGATACCTCACTGCATCCGCTGGAAATTATTTACATTACTGGTTCGATTGAATTTTTTTTATCACCATTGACCTATGTTTCAAGGTTTGTCGAGTCTCAAGGAAATCCAGCTACCGATCCTTTGATTCTTTGGCTCAACGGTGGACCCGGATGTTCTTCCGTCGGAGGCTTCCTTGAAGAACTTGGGCCTTTCCATGTCAATCAAGATGGCAGTACTCTGTTCGAAAATGTTTTCTCATGGAATAAGGTCAGTGGTGCAGTTATAATGCGTTATAGTATGTTGTTCAGGTTGGAAACGTCTTGTTCCTCGAATCTCCCCGTGATGTTGGTTATTCATACAGATCTAACGAAGTCCCAGCTAATACTATGTACAACGATACTTATGTCAGTACAATAAAAACACTTCTATCCTTATGATATAATTACAGACTGCCTCTGATACTGTTCTTGCTTTGCAATCCTTCTACGCCAAGTTCCCAGAATACAAAAACCGCCCATTCTACATCACAGGAGAATCATATGGAGGAGTTTATGTACCAACTCTTACCAGAGCTTTGATTCAACAAATCCAGGTTGCTTAATGTTACTGAGAATTATTTGAATCGAGTCGTTTAGAGCAAGGCAATGGATTATGTCAACTTAGTTGGTATCGCTATTGGAAATGGTGAACTTTCCTCTTTCCAACAGATCAACTCTGCTGTTTCCCTTTTATACTTCCGTGGTGAACATGGAAAGAGGTTTTGATAGTTTAGCAAATCTCTTCTAACTTCGCGTTTTAGTGATTACGATTCTCTTTCTCAATGTTGCAATGGATCAGTAACTCATCAAACATATTGCGATTTCATGCAATACGTCGTCTTGGACTCTCAAGGAAACGCTATGCCTAAGGTACTAACATATGCTTAGTTCTCCTCTATAGACTGATTTTAGTACAATGATGGTTCTGTTGCTGCTCAGTGTGGTCAGATGGTTGTACAACAAGGATTCTTAGATGTTTGGGAGACTGAGTAAGCATTCTTATAATTTTAAATAGTTACAATATTCATTCAAGCAATGATGTGTACAACACCTTCGAAGATTGCTACACACCTAATGATGGCTCTACCATTTTGAACAAAAAGTCAAACAGACGTTCCAAGAGAGAAGTTCCTGTTCTTCTTTCTAATCAACAATTCGTCGATCAAGCTGTAAGTCTTAGCGTGATAACCTCAATCATATTTATGATTTAGCAAAAAATCCACTACACCGGAACAGATGCCAACGGAGGATTTTCTTGTTTCTCAGGAGATTCATCTCAAAGCTACATGAACTTGAAAGAAGTCCGTAAAGCTCTCCATATCCCAGACGCATTAGGAAGTTGGTCCGATTGCAAGTAAGTTCAAAATCAACCCCTACGAGCTAATAATATAAGAAAGGCATTAAATTCGCTTTTGTGATCAAGTCAAATTCCGCATGAAACGGTTGCATTCTAATGAAATTCAATCAATACCGTCAATTGATTATAAGCGTTCTATCTTCAGTGATGATATCAATGGAAACTACGTTCAACAGAATAGTGACACTACTCCCGTTTTCATGGATATCCTTAAGTCACAGTATAAGCTGAACATCCTCATTTATAATGGAGATGTCGATATGGCTTGTCAATTTTTGGGAGATCAATGGTTCATCGAAAGCTTGGCTCAAAACAACGGAATGACTGCCTCTGCTCGCACCTCGTGGAACTATACTCAAACTTCTCACGCACCAAGAATTGGAGGATATGTTAAATCTTTCAACTTCATGAACAATCAGGTCACCATCGATCAAGTCACTGTTAAGGTGAGAACAGATGCTCATGAATTTAATTAAGCTCAACGTTTCAGGGAGGAGGTCATTTCGTTCCTCAAGATCGTCCAGGACCAGCTCTTCAAATGATCACCAACTTCATTAAGAAACAATCATACTCTACACCTTTGGCTGATTCTGTTGTTAACAGAAAACCATTATTACCCGCCTACACTCCCCAACCTCCAGTTAATGGTAAACTAACTTGTAATGCAACGGGAATAATTGTTCCTCATTACAGTCGCTCGTCGTCATCTTGAGAAGTCTGGTATTCTTCCTGGACTAACATTCCAACCCACTTTCGGACATCACTCTGGATACCTGAAGGCTACCCCTGGAAACTTCTTGCATTACTGGTACGATTGAATTTTGTTATCACCGTTATCCTAAGTTTCAAGGTTTGTCGAGTCACAAGGAGATGTACATTCGGATCCTGTTATTCTGTGGTTGACTGGTGGACCAGGATGCTCATCATTAGGTGCTTTCCTTGGAGAACACGGTCCATTCCTTGTAAACCCAGATGGAAAAACTTTGTTCGAGAACGTGTACTCCTGGAATAGAGTAAGATTAAAGCTGGAAACCAGTATATAAATAAACTTATAGGGAGCTTCTGTCATTTATTTGGAGTCTCCAAGAGCAGTTGGATTCTCTTACCAAGATCATAGTGTCACCAATGACACTACTTGGAACGATGACAAGGTTTGAATGTTTTCAGAACCAACTGTACATCATGATTATTCAGAGTGCCATCGATGTATCTCTGGCTATCCAAGATTTCTTCAATACTTATCCATTCCTTCAAAAGAATCCATTCTACATTACTGGAGAATCATATGGTGGAGTATATGTTCCAACTGTAACAGCTCAAGTTCTTGAAGACATCAAGGTGGCCTACCTAGTTCACCATATCAATAAACTAATTCCGCTTTCAGAACAACAAAGTCAATGTTAACCTCCAAGGTATGTCCATTGGAAACGGAATGCTCAGTGTGATTCAAGATGTATGTTTTCCTTCATTAGTTTTGTGTTTAACTATAACAATTTTAGATCAGAACACTTCCTGACTACCTCTATTACCACGGAATTTATGGAAAAACCGAGTGGGATGCACTCCGCGCTTGTTGTCCAAACGTTGCTTCTAACAATAACCAATTGACTTGCCAATACGATTACTACATCAACATTGGACCTGATGGTTTAATTCATTCTCTTTCATTCTGTAATAATTTCTTTTAAAGGTGGTTATTCCGCTAAGAACTTCACTGGAGCTGATTCCGCAAGACTGAACCAGTGTGCCCAACTTGTAATCCAAATGACACAAGATCGTATTGGAACTGAAGGGTATTAAATATCTCAATGCACAAAGCCAACTGACTCTTTTTAAGATTCGATATCTACAACATCTACCAAGACTGCTACGGTAACGGAAACAATGTCTTCAATCTTGCTTCTGAATCCAAATCCCGAAGCAACAAACGTCCCCTCTATAGAAAAGAATTTGCTGCTCGCATGGTGAGAAGAAAATGAATGAATACCAAACAAGCTATGTTTTCAAGAGCAATCTCGATGTTAGTCCAGCTCCTGTGAATCCATTGCAAATGGATCCATCGTCAACTGACAGCTTCAGCGGATTCCAATGTTACATGACTAGCGCTACTACTGCTTACTTGAATCAAGCCCACGTACGATATGCATTGAACATTCCAGAATACGTCCAAGACTGGCAATTCTGCAGGTGAGAATATTATTGAAACAATACTTTCTAATTATAACTTACCTCTCAGAGAGGACAACGCCTTCGATTATACACTCCAACACAACGACACCACTCCTATTTTCGAGAAAATCTTCAGTTATGGACGTAAATTAAGGTACCTTGTTTGAAGAAATGGATTCTTAATATTTCTTCCAGAATCCTCATATACAACGGAGATGTTGATGTTGCATGCGGTTTGTTCGAAGCTCAAGGAATGATTGAAAACTTGGCTCAGAGAAATAAATTCACGGTCAGTCAAAGATTATCTGTTCAACGAGCATGTACTCCGTTTACAGGTATCCAAATCCCGGGATCAATGGGTGTATGCTCAGCAAACGGCTGGTTATTATAAGAAGTTCAGCGGACCAAACACTGATATCTACTTGGCTACTGTCAAGGTTTCAATTGAGGCAGAAACATTAACCATGAAGTTGCTAATTATAGGGAGCTGGTCATATGGTTCCTACCGATAGACCAGGACCAGCCTTACAGCTTCTTACTAACTTCTTGATGAACAATGATAACTTCAGTACTGCAGTCCCATACGATTTGACTAGACAACCTCTCTTACCACAATACACTGTATGTGAAGAACGAACAGACAGAACAAAGATATTTTTCTTTCAGGAAAACGGAGCTGGCCCTGTTCCAAATCCCAACTCAACAACCACCTCCACTACCACTACAACTCCAACACCAACCACCACGACTACTAAACGAATGACGACAGTAACTAAGAAATTCACCACTACTACAGTTGTAAGTATTTGAAAAATATTAGTTTAATTCAGTTCGTACTTTCAGCGAACAACAACAAAAGGAGCAGCTGTATTCTCACCATTTTTGGCTTTAATTGTTTCCTTCTTCTTCTTCTAGAACATGATTGAATTAGAACTAATGAATAGTGATTCTACTGGGGTACTGTCTTAACACTAAACTTCCTTCTTTCTCTACCTCTCTCTCTGTCTCTCTTACTCTCTCGTTGTATGAAATTGTTTTTAATTATAAGATAATACTGTTATAATAAACAAAAATTCTATTGTACTCACAAACGCATTCTATTGTCTGATGCAATCTCATAAGCAAACTTTCCTGAACGAAGGACTTCATTTACGTGCAAGCTCAATGATCTATTTGCTGACTGTCAGTTCATAGAGGGACATCTGAAGCACGATTCGAATTGGGATGTTGAATTTAGAGTCTTCAGCTTCTTTCAGCAACTCATCTGCTTCTGTACTCATTCCCAACTGATTTAAAAATGCAAATGGATCCAAATGCCGAGTACACGTTAGATCTGTTGGCCGAGATCTCTGTTGGCATCTTAGTTGTCAGTTGTATACTCTCTTTCATATTCGTTCTTTATCGGTGAGTAAAAAACATTTTTTGTATAATAGAGACTACGAAATGGGTTTCATTCATGTTTTCAAACATGAAACTATGAAATACATCTAGGATTGACTATAGATTATAATGGGCTTCATTGATTTTCTTTGTCTACTTCAGGTGTTTTCAAAAAGATGAATGAAGTGCCGCGGTTGATACTATGTCGAATACGTAACCCACGTCATGAACTCTCAATAATTGATGTCATTTATGAATATTCTCGAACGTGATGGTATTTTATGAGACTAGCCTTCTTTCCAATACGAGATATCAATAGTTTCTCTGAAAATTGCTTATGAAATGAAATTATTGTTCATTGTTAGCTTGTGGTTGTCATAGAGATGGATGTCTTTACTTTTTCGAATGTTGAAGCTCAGCGATTCTATTCAAATTGGGTAGTCATTCATTCATTTCATTATCATCAGCCATTTTCGTATTTCTTCTTCAAAACTTTTTTTCAACAAAAAACTTTTCAACGCACCTTTGTTCGTTCATATGCAATTTGTGAGTTATTGAATCAATAAACCTTTTCTCATACTTTTATTTCATTATTTTACTTTTATTTTGACTTTTTTCTATTTTTTATGCCCCACCCACTTAACGCCTAATGACGTCTCCAGTACCCCATTAGCATATCCGACGTGCACGTGGATAGAAATATTTCATTTTCCGCAATCAACACCGCGAGCACGGTTGCATTCCATCGCCGACCACAGAATCGCATTGATGTGTTTCTTCGTATATGTGATTAAGAAGTTACGAATTAGTTATTGGAAGTACAATGTTCACGATTGTATTTCATCAAACCTACCGTTTCCAGCTTCCTATCTTCCGTTCACACTAAGGTCAATGGCGGGTGTGAGAAGTTGGAAACCGAGTCTTATGATCACATGTTTACTATCTCGAACAGTTCTTTTTCCAACTTGTTAAGGGTATTTGATTCTCGCAATTTTTGTTTTATTGAATTAATCCCCTCTCTGCCTACCCAATTGTTATATAAGCTCGTTTCCATAGAAGCAATAGCTAATTGCGTGAAAAGCTTAGGAAAGAAAGGTGACTGAGCTATCCTTCCTTCACTCTCTTTCCCTCTCTCTCTCCCTCGCTTTCAGTCCTGTACACGTAGGCTTCCAGCAAAGTCTCAAATCCATTCACATAACAACTTGACATGTATGAGAGAAATGTTTTATTTAATGTTTCTGCTAATCTAATTTCGTTTCATTATACTCAGCCCAATGATCGCAGATGTTATTATTTCAGTTAGTTTTTATAAAAATACTTCGCACTAAAGATTACCTGAGTTGTCTAGTAAGTTTTCATTCAATAATAAGCTACTATCTTGTTTCGATGACAACCACCTGTTCCACATCTCCTTACTTATATCACATATTACTAATCTATGCAGCTTGTTCGTGCTAGCAATTCTTTGGCATCACCTCACGTATTGTCTCGTCTAAATTGCTTTCTGCTGTCTCATTTCCATATTGATCTCTCACCTCTCACTCTCGTGTGATACTCGAATGATAGAGTAAAGACTCTGTTTCAGCTTTTTGATAAGTATTCTCCTCACTGGTATGGACGGAGACGGAACTGCCGCGGGGGGAATATCAATAACTCATCCCACAGGCTTCAACCCAAATGATAAGAAATACAAAGCATGCTGCTGCCACGTGAAAACATTCACAATTGTGGCTGGAATCATAGAAATTTTTACAATTTGTTTTCTCTTAGTCGCAGGTAATTTGTGATTTCTTCAATTCTCGTTTGGGATGCATTGAAGAACGCTCTAGCTGAAAAGAGATCTCTGGTCAACAGAGAGGGCTTCTTCGATGTAGTCTTTCATACCTTTATCGGAGTTATTAATAATAATAATCCATTCTAATTGCAGTCTTGCCGGATATTAACTCGAGAGTATGTAATCCCGGCAGTAACCGACTTTCCTATCTATATGTTGATGATGATTTTACGGAAGTTCGAAATGGTACTATGTTGAATGCAACAACGACCACCACAACAACAACCACAACTACCACTACTACCACAGTTACACCAGATCTAAATGACACCCTCTTGCCTGAAAATGCTACAGCTCAATATGAAAGGTGAGATCTGATGGATACCTTCGTTTTGTATGCTTTTTCTTCTTTCTCAGATTCATGGCTTCGCTAACTACCACCATGTGTGGAATGAATGTGATATGGCTTGTGTGGTCAATAGCTCAAATTCTCGTGATTAACGTAGTCTTTTATGGAATTAAACATGTTCGCTGGCTTCTCTTCCTGCCACATTTTATTTTTCGGCAAGTTTTCCCTCACTCTGTATCAATGGCTGTATCTAAGCAAAGGAAAAGAGATGTCTTGATAGAACTTCTTATAAACATACTTTCCCACAGTCTTCCCTGATTGATGGTTTCCTTATAGAATGGTCGATCTCGGCTTGTTTGGATTGATACTCAGTCTAGAAATTTATTCATTAACTTCAAATGAGAAAGCTACTTCCTCGTCATACGTAGCTATTGCATTCACTTCCGCCTTAACTTCTTTATGGATTTATATAACGGTAATTAAATGAGTATTCTAATCAATTCAATTATTTCTCTTCCAGACAGTGGAACTACGATGTTCTCATTTCGTGAAAAGATCACAGGAAACGGGCTACTCGATATCAGTTGCTCGACCAATAGGTCCATCAACAGTTTCTTTAAGCGAACGAGATGCTCCTCCGGCGGTAAGTATCTTAAATGCTATTTCTTATAAGCTAGTGTATTCAACAAACCTCCTTTCTTCCAGGCTTCTATTCGCCAATTGCCACCTTTGCGTCATACTTACGGAGTCAGGGATCCGAGTCGGAAATACCAAGACAACTGAGAAACTATGTTTCCACTGATGTATGTATATATCTTTATTTGTATTGTGATCTCAATGCTAGACATATCCATGAATATCTTGAATCGAAACTTCGAAATGTAACTGTAGGCTGCAAATTGGTGGGAACACAAACTTGTGTTCAGAACAGAATTTACAAAAGTTACATCCATATTTATGAAACAGATGTTATGGAGGCGACGATTTCTCGAAATTTCATTTTGTCGGAATGTCAAAACAGAGTATATACATATTATCTGAATTGCACGAAGAATATGTTATAGTCATCACAGATGTTCCACGAGATCTTGTCTTTGAGCTTGAACGCCTTCATCGTCGCAAAAGTTGTTCTCATTAAGATTGTCGTTCTTTCGCTTTCTAATCATTTCATAGGGGAATATTATGAGGACAAAAGATATGGCAATTAGACTCGTCCCACCAAGAAAGTAACCAGTTACTGTTACATGACGGAAAATGATATCAATTACTGAAAGAGCAAATCAAAAACAAAAGTTGCTACTCCGAACCTGTGTTGGATGGTATTCCCAGAAGCATTCCGATGGAAATGACCAAGGGATGCAAGAGAGCTATACCAAAGTTAATTAAGAAGTTGAAAGCTGAAACATGAACTGTAGGTCATTAATCGGCACGCAGGCCGTACTTAATGATAGGACAGCTGCTCCACACATTGGTAGCCAAGGAACGTATTTCCATTCAATTAGTTCCACACCTGTTTGAGTGAGGATCACTGGCATTACCCAATTCAGAGAGAAATTGAGATATCCCAAACAGCTCATGAATAAAGATACTTGCCCTAGATCAGCACTTCCTAACATCCGTTTGAATAGGACCTATTATCAATAACTGTGAAGCACAGAGTTCATGGTGTTACTTTGTAAACAGCAGCTGACATTGCTGATATGACAGACAACATTATTCCAAGCCACTGTTGGTCACCGCTGCTTCCTTTTATACCCAGTGATATCACTGCAACTCCTGCAACTGCAAACACTACTGAAACAGCCTGAATACGAAAAAGAACATTATGAATATAAATTTAAACAGCTCACTTTCATCCAAATGAATTTATCGCCCAGTAAGAGTATACCCAGAATATACACGAATGCAGCATTACAAGAAGAAATGGATGTTGCTATGCTAGCTGATACATATAGCAGAGCTCTAGCGGCACAGTAGTTAGCTCCGATCCAAAGCAAAAGGAACGGGAGAACTCGGAACAATAATTGGAAAGGGGTCAAACCATAAGGACCGAACACCTCTTGAGCATGTCTGAAAAACTAAGTTGAATGCGTGTTGGGTGCGTGAACAAAATTAGCATATATGAAGTTTGAATTCAAAAGTCATTTCATTCGTAAATGTTTTTTCACACAGAGCGGTTGCATTCAAAAGTTCAAGCCTAGTTTCTCAATACTCACGTGTGTACATCACGTATTTTCTTTTTACGGAACATTTCGTAGAGTATATAGGTGGGATAGCAGAGTATCATGAAATTAGTGTTAAACCACATCATACAATATGGAGCATTGAAATGTTTCTGAAAAAAAAAATGAAGACTTTGTTTCAGAAACTCAGTACAGTGTCTATTTTCAATGCCGTTTGACTGAACTGGGTAGTCAAGGACCAAGACAAAGCCACAGCTATTATGACAATCAGGCTCAATATGAACTATAAAAGACTATTGAGAAGATTGTTACATAGCCGGCTAACCGTTCTCCATATGGATGTACCTTGAGTGTCTGAACGTTTCATGTCTTCATCGTCTGTGGGTGCCATGAGAGAATCTTCAAAAAAAGTACGGAAAACAACTTTTGTAAAAACTGGAGGACTGTGCAAACGATAGAAATTGAGACGAAGGATAGAAATGAGAATGGATTGCAGGAGAAAGTAATGCGATTCAGAAAAAACAATCAACGTTGATTCAGCAAGATTTAAGATTGTACAGATAAAAAGGTGTAATATCACGTCCAAATCGGAGTAGGAAAACTCAAATTGTCGGAGAGGGACAGGAAAAGTGCACAAAGTTTATATTGTACGACATATATCATCGATAGCAAAAAGACTCCTTCTGTGGTATCAACTGATTAGAAAAATAACACTTACTGTTGGTGTCCATTTCAGTTTGTTCAACACACACCGTCTCTACAGCTTTATAAGAAGGCTTGCTAAGATTTAATCTCCTGAACTTCGATCATACGATTCGGAAACATTTGAACAATTCTTACTTTGTTTCGAGAGGATTACTCATGAAGAATGCAACTTGAAATACTTTAGCCTTGTTCTCATTCAAACTATCTTTCAATTTCTAAACATTGAAAATATACTGATGATAACAAAAGAATAATTACATCACTCAGAAAACGTTCATATCCTTTGGATAATAAACTGTACCGTTACGTATATTGCTATGCGTAGAAGTTATGAGGCAAACGGGAAATATTAGGACCGAAGAATGATTTAGAATGACGATTGACTCTGAATCATCAAACTACTTCTTCCAATGATCGCAGACAATTCAAAGAAATCCTTATCAAGTAGTGGTGTGTGTACCCATCACAAGCTTCTAGTTTATGCCCTACTATGAGACTAAAGTCTACTTCGCTCCCATATTGCGAAGGAAATGAAGTTTCAATCTTATCATGACAATAATATGAGGTGCTATTGGAGAGTTGGGCGTAAAAAAATGTTTATGAAAAGGACTGCTATAGTTGAGTTACCGCCTTCTAGTTTGCCAATGCATACGTGATAACTGGACAAATGAGTATAGGGTAGCGAGCGATAAGAAGATCAATAGCCAAATTCACACAAAAATATAATTTAAATCATTGCTCAGCGAAACCGGAAGAGAAAGTGATTAGTATATGGCGTGGTAGCCAAATGAGGTTCTTTTCATGTATGATAAGCACTTCCTGATGAAATGGTTTTTATTTGTAGTGCTTTTTGTCCTTTGGCTTAGTGATATACTGTTGAATGCAACCGTTGTGTACGCAGACTATAGTTAAAACACTTTACTAACCTATATGTATAATAAGTTAAGAAAATTATGTGAAAAAACTAACGACAGTTCACATTAAAAAAAACGTAAAACCGAACGCTCGGAAGAGCTGAGCACAGATGTAATGAGCTAAAGCACATATAACTTCGAAGAATATAAAATTTTTAAAAATTATACAATATGATTCACAGTTTGAAATATAAAAATCTATAAAATATCACACATCACAGAGTAATATGACGTCGGGGGTGCATTTACAAGTAGGGTCTGAAATTACTGTTTATACAAGCGCTCAATGTTCTCGATCAACCTACAGTTAGTAAAAGCAGTAGAATGAGTGAAAAAATAAAAACAGAGATCCCAATCAGACAAATCTAAAAGTAGGACTTTCCATATATGGTTCAATCATTTTCAACATTACATAGTCGAATTTTCATTGCTAGAAGTCTGAATCAGCTCGTTGTTCAGGGTATAATCATTAACGTCTCCTTCCAGGAAATCATCTACGAATGAGGAGGCTGGAATTGAATTTTCTTTCAGATCATAGTAGTAGATATACCTAGAGACTTAGATGTTAAGGAATACTGTTCTTCAATCTTGCGCTCATACTCTTCGTAAGCTGGGTCGAAGAGACGCTGATAATTCTAAAATAAGAAAAGATATTGAGAGAAGTTTACAAAATAAAACTGACATAATAATCTAACTCTGTGCCACTATGCCACTCCTGCGTGCTCATTGCAGAGTTTTCATCTAAATATGCGTAGACAACAGGTGTTGGCTCAAATCTGATTCTAGACACCTAAAAATAGATAGTTTTTAGTATGTATTCCAATTTCTATTTAGTACATTTCTTTCCTTACGACGTTGTTGTCGTCTCTCAGGTGGATAAATTATTGAAGATGTTGATGGAGTTGTCTCATCAAGATCCTCGAACTCGAAGTTATACTAAAAAACGTCATTAAGGGAGCGGTAAGAGACTAATGATATACCTTCTCATTCATGGCTTCGAGAATGCAAGGGATATCTTCCTCCATAACAATTGATAAGAGATGTTGACGAACAAAATTTCCATCGCCTGCACGCTGAGGCTGAAAATACTTCTTTAACACTTGTAACATGATTCTGACTGACCATGCCGTGCTCAATTTCATACAAGTCGTTCTTCAAACGCATGATAACAGAAGAATCATCATCCTAAAAAGAAGTTATAATGTTAACGTTTCAGCTGAAGATGAGAGAAAAGAAGTGTTAAGCATGCCTCAGAAATGTTATGTAGCTCAGTGGCACTGTCACCTAGAGGAATGCTAATAGTGGGTTCATAAGTAAGCTCGACATCTTCATCAATCGAGGATTCTTTCAGTTCCTAAAGTATAGCAGGATAAGCAAAGCTAGAGAAGCAAAGCAATGGATGTTTTCATTCATTGAGAAATTAATTAGACTGCTTGAAATAGTTTACCGTTTTGAGTTCAGTTGCATCATCACCGTATGGTTTCTCATTCAGAACTTGGAACTTTTGTAGCTTACTCTCCAGATATCGGGTGGACAGGCTTTTCCTCGAGACTAGAAAGAGGGACAGTAAGAGAAACGATGAATGAAGAGTAAAAAAAACCTCTTTCATCCAGAGTCTCCTGAGAAGCGAGAGAACTGGGTCGATCAGTTATACTGTTGAAATTTGATTCAGAATTATCATAAACATTGTTCAAAATAGAAGATGTGGCATAATGTGGGCTACTCGGAGGAGGAGTCATAGGAACTGCTGGGGGTACATCGTACGACACTGCTGATGGCGAAATTTTGTTTGAACTTGTAGACACGGGCGAAATACCGCTATCTTCTTCATCTGAATCATAAGTATCATAAAAAAAATCAAACATATAACTGTTTAATTTATTCTAGTTTTCGAATGCAACCGATCTGACGCGAGCACACTCATTCATATGTTCAGTTAAACTTTACAAAAACTCTTGTTATCGCATCAAATTTTGAAGAATTTTGAGAACAGTTTAAACGGAAACTCGCTCACAAGAACGGAGAACGGATGATGCCCAATGCCATTTGAATTTAGTACTAGGCTCCCTGGTATAAATCAATGACATTACTCTTTAGTATCGATAAGGGAAATGAACCTAAATCGTTAATTCAGTTTGATTTGCTAAAAAGTACATAAAGTGCGTAAATAAGTCTTGATATAGAAAGATAATGAGTAAAAGATATAATGAAATGATTTGATGAGTAACTGCTGTTCTACCGAACAATATCGAAAGCGATTAAAGAGTGCAATGCTTTGCTCAGTGCAATATTTAAACAGTAAGCATATAAGGCAGTTGGTCCTGATTGACTAGTAGAGGCGATGAAAGAAGAAAGAGACAGTGTTGACATTTTTGTAAACATTGGTAATGATATCAAACAAACAAGAGAACCGAATGATTGTTAATTGATTAATATCTCCGAAAAAATCCTAGTTCTTTACAGCCTGGAGAGGGTGTTATGTGCATGAGACTGTGGACGCATTATAACCACATTTGAATTGGCGCGCTTATCTGGCGACTGACGAGTTGACCACAGTCTCGAGCCAAGATCGACTTTCGGTAATATGTTTTGTCGAAAAATATATTTCGACCAAACGATACCAAACGTGGTAGTAAAAACGAGTGTAGACACTCTGGTTAATATTATCAACATTTAGGCTCATCCATTCAACACCAGATACGTGAGCTCAAAGTGTATTCGCATTTGAGTTCCCGCGCAGACCAGCTGTTGGTCTCAATTGCCTTTGCTATATAAACGGAGGTTTTTGAGCAATACAGGCAAATTGAAAAATGGTTTTCAAGTTACAGAAACGAACTTTAGAACAAAGACGTAATAGGTCTACTATTCAAGAATTTAAAAGAGGATCAAAATAAGTTTACGTGATATAAGAGAGCCGGAAGTATTTTCCCACACGACAATCGCCGTGCTCATAGACTATTGAACGTCAACCGACCAAAACGGTAAAACGTCAGAAGGGTAAGCTCGAAAATCATACAAATTTAGAATGAGGCGCATGCTCATCTTTGATCATCGAAAACGCATATGATATTAAGACGAGATAATCAGAATCACTCCAAATATGGACAAACTGAATTATAGTTGATATCAGGGTCAAATCTATAAAGCGTTTGAGCTGAGTTGACCAACTCAACTGTGGGACTCACAGTAGAGTATAATGTCAGAGTGTCACTGCGCTAGCAGAACAGTTCATTCTTCACTAGAATCCTCAACAATTAGATGATGCTTTCAAGCAGAATTAGAGAATGCTAAGGTATAAAAAAAGATTTGGAAACTCAAAAGGGTAAGATACACTATTGTTGTGGACCGAAAATAGAACTGAAATGATAGAGTAGTAGGCTAGATTATCCCCCTGTGGTAACTAGTTTCCATTCTGACACACGGTGTACGGCTTAGAGGACAGGACATTTGTGTTCCATAGGGATATTATGTGATCCTATTGAGACTACCTCGATAATGATTCTACCCGCGCAAACGAGGACAACTTCTAGAAATAATAAAAAGGAAGGAAAAAAATAGAAATTCAGCAGAAGCAAGCAATCAAAAGAACCAAAATCGTGATGTGGCAGCAGATGAGGAAAATTTCATGTCAAAGTTTGAGTGAGCAATAATATTCAGTGTCAAACTGAGAAATAAGAATACGAACGATTATATTCGCTTTCAAGGATGACCTACCCTCGCCCAGAGGCCGAAGGAGGCACGAGGTAAGATGGCGCGATCACAAAAGAATTGAAAATTTCCCGCACACAGTCTAGTTGCAAAAAAAGACATTTTCCATAGGTAACGATTGGCAGTGAATAGCATGAATACTGAGGGAACGGATTATAATCGTCTTGGATACCAGGTGTTCGGCAGACGGTTCAGCCGTCGACACAAACGCTACATCCGCAAATTATAATTAAGCAAGAAAGCCAATAATACCTATTATGAACAAGATTGTTGTCTCTTTCATACGACAGGAACAACAATGTTATTGAGAACAACAAGTAAAATGGATGAGAAGTAAGTTAATTCACAAAAATATTTGATCATTGAATGAAATGAGGCGATAACAAAGTCAACCAAACAAATTCTTGGCAGTGAGTTGTTTTTTTTCGCAATATAAAAAGGCAATCAAACTAAGTTTTCACAATCATACATCTTGCTGTCCTTCAAACCTCAACGCACTCATCAAAATAAAAACAGGGCATCGATCATAAGCAGCAACTTAGTTCCTCTCACTTTGAGTTTGGAGAAATGAAACAGTGTGACGGCGCTTACAAACAAGTTTGTATTAAAGAGATAAGAAGCAAAATGTGAGTATGTTTGAGTTAAAGAGTATTAAAATTATATCTTCTAATGTTTCTTGTCAATACTCGGCCATCACTTCAGATGTTGAGCGACAAGAAACATACGTCATAAGGACTTCATAAGATATGTTTGGATATGACGCAAATAAAAATATGAAGCTTTTCTTCTCTCCTCCGTCTTCTGTTGCTCGCGAACCAACATCAAGGGAATCTGGTCACCGATGGCGGATGAGAAAAATTCCACTCAAACAAAAGGAACACGCATGTTAACATTCTCGAATAGCACGTTCCACTCAAGCTTTTTTCCTTATTCTCCCTTTTCCCCCGTTCTCAATCCAGTTACAAGCTTGTTATAAATGTAAAAGATATAAACTAACCGGATAATCTACGAGCCATAGAGCTACTAGTTGAACTGCTACATAGGCTTACTTCATCGCTTGTAGGGCTAACGGATATGGAGATAACATTGCATTTGTTGTTTGGAACTGCATAAGTGTATAAAGAGGCGCTATGAGCTTTTTGATCTTCAGCATTACGGAATCCAACCAAAGCAGGAATGAAAGCCTTCTATGAATTCCACGAATAAACATTGGAAAATATGTGAAGCGGTACCTCAGAAGTATCCTGAATGAACTCTTCCTTGCTATGACCACCGAAATCAATCATACGGCTATCGCGATTTTTTTGGAATCTATGGAGCATTTCTTGAACTGTAGATCTGTTATCACCTGAAAAGTGTGAACATTGATATCTCAGATGAAAGGGTAACATACTTTTATTAAATGATTGTGGTACTGAAGACTTCTCGATAACAGGGTTATCTGTCCTCATCTGAAAGTAAATAAAAATAAAGAAATAAAAAATATTGTTTTCACCCTATGTTTAGGTTCCTCAGGAGGCGGACTTGAGTCTGAGGGGTAACGTACTTCCGATGAAGCCATTATAACAACATCAGAGTTGATTGAGCTATAAATAAAAACAAAATATAATATAATTAAAAAAGAGTAACTTACGCATACTTAGCAGGTTGAGGATCCGGAGGAGAATAGATTTCAAAAGCTCGAGGATTTTCTGTTTCTTTAATAACTCTAGTGTTAGAGGTGATTATTGGAATCTCCGGATTTCCACGAATGATGTCTGAAGTTTGAGATTATATATATATCGAAACCAAGCGATCGAGTTACATTTCCGTGTTTCTTCTGAGTAGTCATGATCCATCGTTAAGCTTTGAGCTTGTCTCATATTTGGATCATAACTTCGATATACAACACTATGATCAGCACTAGTTTCCGATCGTGGAGAGACGAATGAGTTCTCTTCTACTATATCTTTCTTCAGCTCAATAGTTTCAGGCATGTCGTCCAAGTGCAATGGACTACGTTTTAATCGCCGTCCTATTTTGACAAACTCAGGTTCATCATCGGGCTCGCGATGATTGAGAACCTATGAAGAAAATAAGAAACTATAACAAAATAAAGATCTACCTCAAGAACACGTAAATGAGATTCTTTTCGGGCAGCTGGATGTAATTTTTCATCAATAATACTAGTGTTATAGGTAGAATCTTTGGTTTGTGCAGAGAATGTTGGAGATTTCATCTGCGGAAGTGCACGGTAGCTATCTACAGACTCCTCTGAAATAAACGTCATGTTGGCGATAAAACAACTATAGTACATACGTCGGCAAGATGTGACAGGTATTTGACAAGAACAGCTCTCGGAACTCTGAATCACAGTGAAAGACTTGGGTATAGACTGCCTCAGAAAAGTGTCGTGTTCAGAGAAGTCAACTGATTTTGGTCGTAAAGTCGTTTTAGTTGTAAAACCCTAAAATAATACGAGTACTAAAGAAGCGATTTGCACACTACTTGAGAGTTTCTGCGGTTCTGAGAAGGTCGTCGTTGAACATTCTGTTCAAACTTCTTTCGTAATACACTGATCGGTTGTAAATCATCTGCTTCATCCTCATCGCCTATTCTGGGTGTGCGATGAACAACAAAATTCCTCTTCTCTGGAGAAGCATCTGTAAAACCTTTCGTTGATCTCAAAGATTAAGTAAAATACTGACCATAAACATCACCAACTGATTTGGAATAGGCTTTATGCAATGCATTAGGTACAGTCGGCTGATTTTCCCAACTGAATACATACATTTTAAAAACAAGATATCTTGAAAAAAAACAAACGTAGGAGATGGCTGCTCAGTAGCTGACAGAATATCGTCGACAGAAGGACATCTTTTACCTGTAGCATGTGGAGAAACCTGAAAAATAAAATGAGCCGGAAGTCTCAGCAAATCTTCAATACCTTTGCATCTCGACTTGCAATGCCAGAAAGTTGATAAAATTTAGCTTTTAATTTTTCAACTATTCCTGGACCATATTCAATGTCTGAAACAGAGAAGTAAGATACGGACTTCCAATTGATTATTGATCGAACCATCAATTGCTTTACGGAAGGAAAACGATAATGATCGTCTTTTCTTTTTCTCTTTTGGCACTCGTTCACTGCTATACCATTGGACATGATTTTGAGGTCTTGCGTTATCATACACAGGCATACGGCCCAAATCTTTTTCAGATCGGATACGCCTCAAGTGTTTCGGTTCTCGTTCAAGAGTCGAATAGTTAACGTATGTAGGACTATGATTACTAACATAAGGGTCAATATTATGAGCTTCCATGAAACGCAAGACGGCACCGAGCTTATCATAATCTAATTGGCGAACAATGTTTTCAGTTGGCGGCTGATATGAGAGCCGCCTCTCCGATTGGGTTCTAGCAATACGTCTTTTCAACGAACTGTCGGTTCTTTGTATTTGACTAGATCGTCTCTGCACCTTAGCTTCTGACATATTTTGGTAAATACGATCAGCCGGAGCTAACAAAACAGAGGAAGTGGAAGCTGGTACATTTTGGTAAATCGGATTTTCACTAAATTTTTTCCGGAAACGTACAGCATCCGTTGTTGCGATAGCCGAATGCCGGCGAGATAATGCCATCTAAGAAGAAAAAAATGAGAATGAAAGTAGAAACAAAGTAATCATGAACTTCAACGATCATAAGGAACAATCAATCAATGTATTATATGTCTTAATGAGATTTAATCAACAAATAGACATATGATAGACTAATTACGTTAATCAGAACGTAATTAATGCTGGTATGAAGGAAAGAAATAGAAGCTGATAATACGTTTTGATTTAAAAGGATAGCAGGAAGAACGAACAGTTCTGGTGAAAAACTGGAGAATATACTAACGAATGATGATGATGATGATATGGCTGAAGAGCTATCTGACCATTCGAAAAGACTGCAAACATTATGTTCAACAAGGCTATTAGCTCATAACCGAAAAAGATCTTTATGTAAAAGATCTAGCTTGTTTCTTTCTAGATCTCTCGAATGAGGAAAATTGAAAAAAATGAAGCATTCAAAATAATAACTCGAAAAGAGGGGAGATATTGGGATATGTCTAGTCTGCAATAAATGCTTGGTGCGAAGAAGATCAAAAAAATGTAACAAGTGATGCATTAAGGTGCCGGGCAATAACATAGAACCATGCACGAAAACGTAATATGATATTTTCAGAATATAAAACTGACATTCAACGGAAGTTTCAAAGATGAAAAAGCAGCCTAAGCAATACGAAGTCACTGTCAAGCCGAAAAGAAGGTGGATATGTTCTACGATATCGCCAGTATAGCGCACACTTTTTGGTGGACCGGATGGAATAGTTCAAACAACGTGACAATTTGACACCTGAGAGCTCCAACTAGACTTCATCCGGCAGCGTGCTCGTATTATACGAATTAGAATTTCAAATAGTTCGCAAAACACGCGAGCGAGATACCAGGGGATATGACAGCTTCTCGTATAGTAATCAAAACAAATGAGAAAGCAAAATGAACTTAGTCAGTATGTCAAGAATCAAGAACCAAGTTCAATGGTCTAACTTTGAAACGCTTTCTGAGTGCCAATCATACATACTTGAGAAAAGAAACTGATCAAACTTTGAAGAAAAGATACCTGAAGATGATCCAGTGGAAATATTATCTTGATGATCATCAGCCTCCTTCTCTACTACCATCACTTTTTTGACGCTATAACCTAGCTGATCAGAAACTGATGCTTCTGTAAAAATGAAAATTAATAATTGGATTTGATGAAAGCATCTCATATTGACAATTAAGGGTTAGAACTTGAACAACCTATCGTAAATATGTACTTATGGTCAAGTTGAAGCTAGTAATAGTAAAACAATGACAAAGGTTGTACGAGGAGAAGAATAGTTTCTTATCAGAGCATAAAACTATAGTTGTGAATAAAACTCAATTGCCTATGCTATCCAAGAGGCTAATAAACGTTTAGCAAAAATTGAACGAAATAGAAATACCTTCAGAATCACGTAATTAAATGAAAAATTCTTTGTAATGTTACAGATTTGAGAGAGTTGAAAAACGATTAGTCATCATGTGATGAAAGATGATGTCTAGAACTTTGTGCGTTATTTTAAGTTTTTTCAAAAAAAAAACGAGAAGGCACCTGGATGACAATCATAGCACAGTTGTTTGTAAACACAACCACGCCTTGCACTTGCACTAAGTAAAGTGACGCCGTTACGTGAATTAACTTAAATTCAAATTTTCACGTAACGCGTTGCCACGTGGATGACGCAGCATGCTGGTTTCAAAAACAATTTGAAAACAACATGTGAGTGAATAAGAGTTTCGTAATTGGGTATGACACAGGAGACTAAACGGAAATGCGGTAATATATGAAAGTGCATGTCTGAGAGAGGCATCTGTGCAAGCGATAGAAAGAAAGTTGTTTCAACAGAGTTAACCCGAAGGTGGTCAATACCAATTGAAAATATTATACAACGAAAGGTTTAACAGTCAAAGGCATATCAGCAGAGATAAGAACATTTCACATTCTTACATTTAACATGATAGTTGTCATATGAAGTATTACCTTGAGCAGAATTTTCCTTTTGTACTGTTGGGTTTCTGCGAAACAACCGACGACAGCCATCATTCTGAGAAAAAAAAGAAATAAAAAATTAGTGTCAATGTCTCTGTTATACATATATGTATATGTATATGTATGTACTGTATCGATTGATTGATAAAAACGGTTAGAAATTTTAAAACCAAATAAATGAGAGACTCACTTTGACAAAAGGGTTATCGCGTACAAAGGAGAGTGGTTCTTCCATGCTTGTCCGTGGGATAATTGAACCGGCTCTGTTCCTCACTTGATTACAGAACGATACTGTTCTTGACTTCAGAAATGGAGGCAACTTTCCTTGGAGAACCTAAGGAAGAGCTGGAACAGGAGAAATCCACTCTTTCGTTCGATCTGAAGCATGAGGAGATGACGATGTTATATATAATCCGATGTAAATGAAGAGTTGATAAAGAGAAAGAAGAAATCTAGAATGACTTTGGAAGAAGCAGCAAGCAACGAAAGAAAACAAGAACATCAGAGGGAAAATAAGAGAAGAGTGGATAAGAAAGAGTGAGGGAGAATTCATAATAACATAATCAATAAGAGAGGCGATCAAAGACATTCTCTTACGACATCGTACAAATCATCACTTTCACATACTGCGTGCACATAAAAGAACTGATTCAGCGTTGAGACATGGGATGTATCTGAGTCAAATAAGTCAAATGGCCTATTATGTAAAGTTCTTAAAAATAAATGGACAATCAATAAGTTTTTTAGCTGTCCTCTGACAGAAGGTGGTAAATACCTTATGTGGACAAAAGATTAGCCAACATATCACTGAATGAAGCCTTGATGCACAAAAATCAATAAACTTTCCCAAATATGGCAATATTTTTTGTTCTCTTCTCTCACTGCCACTACCAAGAGATCATAACAGTTTGCTTGTCTATCCCCACTACTGACAAGTTCAACAATGAGAACTTAAAAAGAAGGGTCATTGATGGAAAGCACGACAGTCATAATGCAAAGGAGATGAATCATCAGTAAAATCTCTTAATAAACGTAAAAATCTCTCCTAATAAGAACAGTGTTGAACTACAATATCCTATTTAGATACTATCGGATAACAGATGTCAAACGAATTTCAAAGAAAGTCGGCAGATGTAAAGACAGTTCGGGAAACTAAAACAGCTGGCACAAACGAAATAAAGAGGTTACGAGAAAACTTCTAAAATCACTAGATATGAACACATTTTGGTATGATTCTCTCAAAAACAACTAACAGATATTTGAGCTGCTGAGGTTGATCAAAAGTCGTCTAGCAAATGAATCAATAGACGGAGTGACATAGGGTAAGAGGGACTTTCTTGGCTGAGGAGGACAATTAGGGTAATTGGAGAATGTTTGCTAAGACAGACCATTGCCTACCCATATAACAGGTAGCTCTTACCAAAGAAACAGAACACCAGCTGAAAAACGACAGGATTTTTTTCCGAATTGAACCTATTCAGAATTCAAAAAGGCAATGAGCACTCTGACTGTAGGATGTTCGCGCAACACATTGCAAGATGGAACGAAAACAAGAGAGTGCGAGAGAGTGAGAGAAAGGTAGTAGAAATCGCCAAATCATGTAATTCGTACAAGAGGTAAACTTAATATGTCGCAAGAGCTTAAAATAGAAAGAACGGACTTTATAGTCTTCTTTTCTCTTAGCTGAATTGAAAACAATGAAATTTCGGCAGGCAAGCAAGGTGGTACAGTAGACAAACAAGAATGAAATCTTCCTGGTGGTTATGAGAGTAAGAATCATTTTGACTTTCCATCATATAATGACTATTGATAGGAATTTCGGAGTGAAATGAACAAATATGTTTTGGGATTTTGCTTGTCTTTGAAAATCGTCATTTGCAGTGAGATTTGGAAGGAGGTCAGCGAGATATTATCACATCTTCACGTATTATGACCAGATGCGAAGAAAACAAAGACAAGAGAACATCAGAAGGATAGAAGTATAATAAGCATACGAAGGAAAGATACAAATAGATGAACAAACCTTACATTACAATAGAATAGAAAAAAAATAATCTTATAAAAGACGCTCACACACACACACTCTCACACACACAATTCAATTCCATAAGAGGTTAGGTAACAGCAGAGTGGAATCATCAGAACTCCCAAAATTTATTTAGCGATCGGACCAATGTGAGTCGACTCACTGAAAGACTAGAATTCGAAGACGGACGGAGACAACAGACGGGAAAGAGCAAGAAGAATTAACGACATGGTTCAGGAATGGACTGATCCTAAAAATACACAGAATGACCGAAGAGACTTTCACCACAAACAGAAATCAGCTTATCACTCATCTTACATGCTCTTTCTGAGCGAGCAGAGGATAGCGTTTTGCCATTTCTATCTAAATAGCATATGGTTCACTTGAACTCTCTCGCTAACATCGGAACTTGCTCTAGATATCCTTTATAGGCTAGTATATGTTGTTTCAGTTCGTTTGTAAAATCTGCAAAAAACAAGCCTTTTGGTAGATGAGACGAGAGCTGAATCACTGCGATCACATATTGTTCGGAAGAAAGTCTTCAAATGGACGCTCTGCTATAATGGAACAAGCTGTGAGATCACAGTGTTCTCCAAGAATTAGAAGATTGTCAACATGGATTTATCTTCAAGTGTTTGGCGAGGACAACACGCAAAAGGAAACACCAAGGAAACGATCTGTAAATAGTTAGTATGGACATAAAGCAAACGGAATAGCTGCACATATTCCCGGCCATTTGAGAAAGTATCCTGTGTGAACCCGAAGCAATAAGGCCCTTGAGACCATGCATAATAAATGAATGACATCTAAGAAGCTTTCAAAAAGACACATGGTTGAAGGACCAAAACAAGAGTAGTACTTTCTTGGATGGGTGCCAGTGCGTTGGAGGGTTAAAGGTCTGAAAGAGATTGTTTGTGTAATTTATAAATAATCCCAAAAAAATTTTATAGGAATGAACTAATATTTAGTAACTAACATAATGAAAACAATCAAATCAACAACGGTCACGTTCTAATCTCTAGAACCGTGAACCCATCTTCCTATCTACGATTCGCAATATTTCTCGGTTGAACGCAAGAATACGCTGATGCTTCGCCCGTATCAGCTGATTCTTCTCTGCAGGTGGTCGGATATTACGAACAGGGATATGCCTGAAAGAAAACAGTACAAAAGAAAATGGAAACGATGAAAGGTTTCAAAGGCAATTGACCAGAAGAGAACCGGACATTTGTCGTTTATTTGTCTTCAAGTTATTGCTATTGAACGTGAGTCGATAAAAGGGCATACCGTTGACAGGCTAAACCCCAGTCATTTCCATTCTGATAGGTGTCTTGCAGAATATTCATTACTGCTAACAATGTTAAAAATTTGTGTCCAGATTCCCATCTGAATTATCGAAACTAATTTGCATATTTCACGTCAACTAACTTCACGTGTTGGTCCAGTGGCAGACGTAAACAGCGTACATTATCTTGTTCTGCAGTAACTCGGGATGCGTGTGGATGGATACCTTTTTCTGGAACGCGATCTACTATCCCTCCTATCACATAAACCTTAAATGCACTATGAATGGAATCCGATGGAGATGATAGCCTACATTGTCATCCTCGATTTCCTCGATTTCCGTTTCTGCATGAGGACTCAAATACACTATTTTGTTTCTTTCCGCTAATGAAGTGTAGTTTTCTTTTGTGAGAATGGGCCCCGAGCTATTATGCGATGTGCATATTGCAAGATGTCTGAATCAGTTTTTTACTTTGAGGCAAAAGGGTGGTCTCATTTAAAGTAATGCAGACTCGCAGAACCGGTTGTATCTTAGTTCAGAGAAGTCAGGTAATGTGTTAATTTTACTTTTTTTGGAGAATCTTCATTTTTTCATCGGTGTCGTCGTAGTTGACAAAGTACAGTGGCCAGGGCTCTCTGAAAGCATTGAATGATGTTAGAATTGACATAGCTAACACACCGTCTCTGTTTATTGTGAGACACCAAATGTTGCAATTGTATAGCGGTCAAATCAGCGGCTCTGGGAGACAGAAGTGGAATGAATCGACAGTCTATTGCTATCCGAGGTCCGGGTAGATGGTATGAACGAGCAACTCTACACCATTCCGCCTGCCGCTCGAAGGATTCTACAGATGGATATTTTAAAAAACCACTTCCTCCAGTCTCACCTATTCTAGCTATGTTGAAATTGAAAAGCCAATTCTCCATATTGGACTCCACTTTGTCTTCCGCTTTTTTCTCCCTCTCCTTTGATTGTTTCTGTTTGTCGATTTCGCGCAACCTTTCCCGTTTTCGTAAAAAAATCAAATAGTCTAAGCGCTGTTTCCTAGTTGAGCATTCCAATAATGTTTTCCAGTTAGCATCAGTGATTGTATTAGGGAAAAATCTGGTTAGCTGAGAGAATAGCTAGAAAGATGAAGTTCCGTTAATTGATGCGCGTCTTCCACGTTTGAAAAAATACCTCGGCTTCTTTACTTATGAATCTCAGCTTTTCCTTTTCGTCACCTGTAATGACATCACAGAACGAAGAACTGGGATTTTGAATATGACAAGGGTCGGACCATTGGATGGGCGTAATCGTTTGTTGAGATAGATCAAACTTCTGTTTGAGTTTCCATACTAGCCTTCTATACAAGTTAGAAATAGATTTCATCTCTTCTACAATCAAGCTTAGAATGAAGATTGTGTTTCTATCTCGAAATAATGGTTATGGAGAAAACCACAGAGATGTTCAATCAAGATCATATTCATTTAGAGTTCAACAACAGAAAACAAAAATCAACAACTATAGGACAACGATTAATCTTTTAATACTTCAACCTGAATGCAGAAGATTAGATCATGTTGAAGAAGATAAGCTTTACCTGAGCACAAAAACTTGGGATTGTAAGGAGCTTCTTGAGAGCGTCTGCTTGTTTCAGTCGCCGACTCGGAACCGTGGCTTGGATTGCATCAGTAGCTTCATTGTGCTGCACAGGGGTTACGTGGACGGCACCTCGAACTGTTCGTCTAGCTTCAGCTCGTAATAATATCTGTCGAGGAAATCCTGAATAAGAAATTCAATCAGAGAAGAGCAATGAAAACAAACCGCTAATCATAGTTCTTGCTCTTTCCGGAGTTACTCCCCACAACGAAAGCATATTCATACAATCAACAGGAGCTCGTAAGTCAATCACGGACTTGGCCGCGCTGGAAAAAATTATGCCTTTCTGTTTGAGATTTCTTATAACAGTTCGGCCGTTTGTTAAGATCTATAATTGGCAGAAGAACTTGAAGTGAAAAAACAGTAATGATTACGTTTCTCCTCTTCTCTCTATCCGACAAGACGGGTCCATATGTTACTTCAAACCCTACTCCTTCAGCTCGAATCATTTCCATGAACTTTCCCTTCATGATCCAGGGGACCTAAAGCATAGAATGAACACATGAATGAAAGAAAGAGTCACCCTCGCTTCGCCAGAATCAAAACATATTATATCAACACTGTCCGTTTTCCTGGTGAGTGTATTTAGAATACTTTCATCTAATGGACGAACAGCAACAATATCATATTTCTTCAGAAGAGGGTTATGAAACACATTGTGAATGACGGATGGATCGTTTAAGGTAAATGTTATTCGACTGAAACAGAAGAGTTCAAGCCGTATATATTTCTTATACCGACCTATACATTCTAAATTTCCTTCCTAACATGGTTATTGATGTGAGATCAAGTAAGGATTCGTCAATTAGGAAAGGTTCCGGAATCGTTTGTTCTCGAATCTGAATCTCGTCATATTAAAATTAGACATGACAGAGTATACCTTCCTGGTATCCTTCTTCTTTTTCTTAGCTGGCGGTGCTTCTACAGGCTTAGGTTTTGATTCCTCCTCGTCAAGGTTTCCATCCTCCTATTAAGCAGATATATCTTACACTCGATAATTCTGTCAAACCAAAAATTCTGAGGGTACAATATCACCTATATCAATATTGATGGCAACGGCATCAAACCCCATCCTGATAGCTCTTTTAACTAAATTCAAAGTGGTTTGGGGATTTCCGGTGTGAAGGATGTTTAGGTCAGCATATTGGAAAGATAAACCTGGTGCTTCTATTCCTGTTGTGGTCATCTTAAAGAGCCGTCTATACAATTCAAGTGAAGGAGTTGTAAAATAGCACACAAGAGGATATACTTTGAGGTTGCGATAATTTCATGGAAGTACAAATTCATTAGTTCATAACAAAGTTATCACAAATATCAAGATATGAAATGGAATGTTAAAATAATTTCACTGTCGATAACCATATATGCTGGGAGAGGAATAATTTTACATAGCAGCATCCTAAATCACGACTCCGATATTGCGTACATACGATCAGTTGGCAGGCAAAACGGCTCCTCTGCATGGACCAAAGCCAATACGAACTCCGTCTTTTTCGCAGAAGCCAGAGAGATTGACCTTAAATTAAGTTTTGTTTATATTTTTGGGCTTTGCTTTTTTTTCAGAAATGTGCTTAATCAGTTCGTTTTTAGTAAAAGAAATCGAGGTTACCTCATCACCGTCCTGAATGAACTTGCGAGTTTGGTCACCGACAGGAATAGTCTTGGCACCTCTCCATGAAAGTTCTAGCATACTTCCATAAGCTCCTTCTTCCTTAACAAATGTCATTGACTATGTGAACTAAATTTGTAACATACGGGTCCAGAGACGGTTCCTGATCCCATGAGGTCTCCAGCGTTTACGTTGCATCCATTCACTGTATGATGAGTTAGTTGTTGTTTCAATGTCCAGTAGAGATGCTAAATCATATGGTTCGCGAACGTCATCGTTTGTATGAAACCTTGAAGCTTGTGGAACAAACGGGATGATCTTGTCCACCTTCTGGTTTGATTGTGACTTGAAGATTGATATCCAATGTGTATGGGTCGCTGTGCTTCAGGTAGTCAAGAGGAGCTGGGTCCTATAACATTAAATAATGTTCTGTCTGATGTATATTCAACATACTTGAGCAGGATTTTCAACCATGAAAGGCTTGAGAGCTTCCATGCTAACGACCCATGGAGAAATAGTTGTTCCGAATGATTTTCCGAGGAATGGACCAAGAGGGACATACTCCCAGGCTTGGATATCGCGAGCTTAGATGGAGAGCATAAGTTATTTAGGTTTGATACATCATACCACTCCAATCGTTCATGAGAACCATACCGAAGATGTGATCTTCTGTCTTCTCAATAGGAATACGTTCTCCGAGCTTGGTGGAAGGTCCTCCAACGAAGAAAGCCATCTCAAGTTCGAAATCAAGGAGTCTGCTTGGACCGTAAGTTGGCTCAGTTTCTGAAGCGAGAAGTAATAGGTATATAAATACAAAGAATTTGGAACCTCCTTCTGGCTTTCTTTGTCCGTTTGGTCTACGAATAGGAGTTCCGGAAACAACCACAGAAGAAGCACGACCGTGGTATCCTACAGGGATCCACTTCCTAAAGAGAGGTTCCAACTACTTTACTATTTTTAATGAAGGATACCAGTTGGGCATGAGAGCATTATCTTTTCCTCTGAACATGATTCCAACGTTAGTAGCGTGATAGATAGAAGAGTAGAAATCGGTGTAATCGCCGATTGAAGCTGGGAGATGGAGGGTGGCATCTTTTTGCAAGACAAGAGCGGCATATCTCAACTCCTGATTGTCTCGTAGAGTTGGACAATCAGCGGACAGAAGAGTTTGAACAGTTTTACGAACCTCAAGCCAAGCTGAACGAGGAAGACTCATGAAAGCATTCAGAGTTTCCTAAAGGGTAACATTTGAGTTTGATATGAATACTGAGCTGATCACCTGTTTCAAGACATCCAAATTGTTTTTGATTGTAGGTCCATCGAAGAGATTGGTAATAGCGGACAAATCAAGGATGTGTTCTCCGATAGCAACTCCGATTCTATGTTTCTTCTGAACGGGAGTTTGTCTTCATTACCAAACCAAATTAGCTCTTACATTGCTAGCTGTAGAGAAAATTCCATATGGACAATTCTCCAATGGGAAATCGGAACGATCGGGAACGGGAACAAAGGATGCCATCTTCAAACAATAATTCAGAAATTTTTAATACGATTAGCAAAGTATTGAAAAAATTCGAAAACGAAAGGCAAAGTGAACGAGAAATGAGCATAGTATAGACTTTAACTTCAACAAATAGGAAACAAAGAAAAAAAATTAGTTTAACAAAACGGAATAGATCCTGTCACCAGTCAAGAAAACAAAGACATTGTTCAATGGCCGCATAGCCAATATAGTGAGATCCACACTGGATGTGGTCAATGCCGAAGGGTCGTGCCGATTTCTCAGAGAGATAACCTGTTGCTTTGCTACAGAGCTTATCTTTTGCTGAGTTTTTCTATTGCGTAAGTCTAAAAGCATATGAACTGAATGATATAGAGATTATGGGGATAGTAGACCTGAGCTGACTTGATCCATTTGCCAATAGAAAAAGACATGATTGCTACCTTCGGCAATAACAGCATAGGAATAGTCCGGAGAGCATCCAGTCCATCTACGGAGTGATTTAGACGCCTGCAACAGACAGAAGAGATTGCCGTAAAAATGATGAAAAACAAGCAAGGCTATAGTATTCATGCGATAATAGATGGCAATGACATTGAACTTAGAAACGATCGATTTCGTTGAAAAAACAGGTATAACCTGTCAAAAGATAAGGAATGCTAGGTAATCAAACTGCACACATGGACACTTGTTACGAATAATCTCCTACCTGAACATAACCAAGAGCATTGAAGGTAGCAATGTGATCAAGTTTCGATTTATCTCCCGTTAGGAGAACTCCGTCTACATCATAACGGAGACAAAAGCGTGTTGATTCATTTGAGTAAGGTTGCGTTGCAAATAAAAATTGATTTCCAGTAACATCACACTGAATAGAGAGTGGTGTACACTATAAACTGTTCAGTATTGAAACCTGTTTTATGGCGAATTCGTCTCGTGGACTATACCAATATACTGAGAAGAATTGCTCATCCGTATGGTCGCATTCTTCTAGCTGATCATTATTGAAATTCATATTTGCACCAGATTCTCCCAAAGACTGTAATTGAAGCAATGAAACTAATTGAAACCGTTCACATAACCATAGATTCGCTCGTGAATTTCTGAAGCAACTCTTCAGCGTTACTCAACAATTCCGGATCCAATTCAAATTTTCCTCTAGTATCTCCAGCAATCAGATAACTCCATTTTGTTGTGCTGATCAGCTTAGTCAGGGTGATCTCCAAACTGAGAAATGGAACGATCAAAAGACCAGAGCTAAACAGCACTCACATATTTCCTTCATCTAGAGTCCACAAAGAATCGTTAGTTCTGACGGGACCTCCTAGTTGTCCAGCAAGCAGTACTGTTTCCCCAACTCCAAGGCTTAATTGAGACTCGGTTATCTAAAAGGATTATCAATGAAATAAGTTCAAGATACACAATTACATTAAACTTCACGTCTTCCTTCTTAACTTTCTCTTCCAAATGGATCACAACTGTAACTTCGTCGTTTTTTTCAGACCAAATGTATAAAGGCTTGGTAGATTCGCTAGGAAGTACATCATCTACAATAATGTATTCATGAGAGTATAACTCGTATTCCACGTGACACGTGGACCGTGAAACCACGTCCCCCTCCCACGTGGCTACTAACACGCAAATCATTCGCTTCGGTTTGCATACGTGTATCGGTTGTATTTGAAAAAAAGAACGATAGTTTGCCTAAAGGGGTTATGCCCGTTTTTTTTCCACTTACCCTTGTTAACTGATTTAAGAGTACTGTGGCTCTGTCCCTTGCACATTGGCTTGTCCGAAGAAAGCACAACTATATTATCACAACTTTCATCAAAGGTGGCACTCTCAACGATGCCTTTGGTCCAAAACTCATGTTTATTCAGAATATCGAAGCCTGGAAGTGAGGGATGGAAAACTATTTCAGAATTATGAACCATTAGCCTCGAATTCAAGAGTGACAAAACGATTGACATAGTTAGCAGCAGTTTCCTCTTGGATATTGTCCTTATGCATCACGAATTGTAAAAGAATATGGATCTGTTTTAAGAACTACTGAGCATTGGTATAACAGTCGCAGACCTTATCATCCTTAAGCCTACAATCAACCGTATAGAAGTTGCCAATGTCAGAGTCTCGGAATGAATGAACTTCCTTAAAACACATGTTATGTTAACTGTGCAAATTTTTGATAGAAAACCTTCCAAGAATTGCCTTCATTCTCCAAATGATAGAATGAAAGAGCACCCAAGCCATTGGATATGATGGCCATAGTCTTAGAACAGAAAAATATGCTTGCTGGGTAAGACAAAGAGCTCTCTTCTCTTTGGAAGGTTATTACTTTCGTTGGTGGCGTCCATTTTTTCCTCTGTTTCAATAGTTTAGTTCTCACAGGTTTGTCTTATACTTACAGATACTGAGAAAATGGTATGGTAAACAGCGTTATCAGCTCCAACAACAAAAAAGACTGATTGATCTTCATTTGAATGAAAGCTATTGTAGAATAAGGAAGGTGCATTAGCCACTATTTTGGTATGATGCAGAGAGAACTGCTCATCTGAAGTTCGGTACTGAACGACTGAAACTTCTTTGGTATTATAGTATTTTTGAATTCCAAACCTGGAAACTCAAGAATCGAATCGTATATGGGTAAAGAATCTAATGAAAGCTTATAACCATCAAAGTTTGGATTCAGAAGTGAAGAATTCACAGAGAGTTCCACAATTTCAGGTTTTATCATCTTCAGCTACTATCTAACTCTGGATGAGTGCTATTCCTTTCTGTCATCATATTCCATTAGGACAAACGCCATGCCGAAAAACACGCTCACGACAATTTACACAATTGGATTGTATGTTAAGGAAGAATATTAACAATGGATTAAGGTTGCGTAATACCAAACAGACATAAGTATAATAGAAACAGATCTAATATGATGCCTGTTCTAACCTTATAAGTAGAATGGGTTGTTAATCACTGTCTGTTTGTCATTTAAATTATAAAAACACAGATGACCAGAAGTCTGACCTAACTTGTACTCATAAAAGCATGCTACAAATTACAGACTACGGTAACTTTCAACTTTGTTGTACAAATATATACTCACTTGTCGTCCCACCCCCAGTTACCGAAATTCATTTGAGAGGTCACGCGTCTGTCAAAATTCTCGCATTTGAATTTTCTTAATCCCAAGTTTAGAAATGCCCATTAGCGTCCAAGTTGTAAGTTGTATTTGAATAATTTATTAGTTTTTAATTTTTTTTTTTGAAGAATCGTTTTCGTTGTCGGCATCCCAGATGTAGCGGCAGTGTTGATACTTTCTCTCTCTTCACAGCTCAAGAACATATAGCTCAACACTTTTCACAGGACTGTAGTAATAAAAGTCTGTGAGTTGATAATTTTTTTTCACTTCCATATTTGAACTTTTTTTTCATTTTAGAAAAAATTTACATTATGCTTACGAGTGTCCAGTCTGTCGGATAGGGTTTGTTACGAAATTTTATGCCGTAGATCATTATATGACAAAACATCATAATGTTATTTACGATCACTATTCGTATTAAAATTCCTTTGTTTGAAGGTTCGACAGCTGTTCGAAAACTATTCTCAAATTAATAGAGATCACACTGATCGTTACCTTTTGTTTTCAAATGTGTACATGGCAGCTTACTTAGAAGTAGTACTGCAAAACAAAACAAGTATGATACTCATCACCGTGAAACGTCTGACACAAACATTTTAGTTGAAATGGGAAGTGCTCCGATGCCAATACAAGCGAATATCGGTTATGACAGTAATGAATGTCTTTCTGTTCATTGACATAGTTTTGCTGTTCAGATCGACCGCGATCGGAGCCGTATAGACCTCCTGCTCCAACTGGTACTATTGGATATCAGAACGATCCGTATGGAACAGATCCTTACGGAGTTGATCCATTTGGAAATGGTTCGGATGACTTCAGATCCCCATCACGTGTAATTGCACTTTTTTCTTCTCCTTGAATGTTCCATATTCAGAACACCAGGTCACCAGTCAGGTCTCCGGCGTATAGATCAGGTCCTCCAGGTAATACTCGCTAAAAAAAAAACGCACTATATTCTTTTTGAACGTTTAGCCAGCGCATTCTCATCGATGAGGGAAAGAACGTGAGGAAAAAAATTCTTAAGACTGAAATGTTGCCGATTTCAGCAATAGCGGTGTGGAACAAAGTTCGATGTCAGGAGAATACTCGAATGGATTTATGGGTTTCTTTCAATGTCATATGCATCAAAGACGTTTTTTTTTATAGAGAATAGAAGAATGAAGAGTCCGGATGGTCGGGATAACAAAAAGTTTGAAGAGCAAAATTTCTTTTCCTTATTCTTTACAGAAGTCGTGGTAGGGGTGGACCAGGTGGTGGAAGAGGGAACCGACGGTACGTTAGTTTGTTAAATAGCATGTCTTTCTCGATAAATTCGGAAAGAGTTAGTAGCTTTTTAGAGAGCCAATGTGTGTGATTGATAGTAATTCGAGACGTGAAAGAAATGATTGGAGGTTTTTAAAACTCCTGTAGTATAAACACTCTTTTTAGCGGTGATCCAAGACGTGGAGGGAACAAGGCATTCGGGAAAAGGTGATTATAGCTTGTGTAGGATGAACGGATTATCAATAGAGCACGTTTCAGACCGAACACTGACAACAATTCTTCCTTCTATGGAGATCAATCTTTTAACAATTCTTACAGCTCAGCTCCTCAAAGTGGTTTCAATACTTCCAAACGGGATAGGTTTGTATCCTCCCAGTTGGATGTTTCTTGTATTTAGAAAATCCTTTAAGGTCCTATTCACGCAGTCGTAGCCGTAGTGCATCTCGATCTCCTCCGAGAAAGATGAACAGCGCTACGGCCGCCAGCTATAGTGGTAATGATAGTTTCATGAACAAAAATAATAGAGGGGCTAAGACACCTCCGAGAGATGATAGGTTTATCTTTCACCCGGAACAATATATGTTGTTTTCTGTTTCAGACGGTCTTACTCGCGTAGTGTATCTCGATCTCGTTCCCGGTCTCCTGTCCCACAGGCTGCCCCGGCGGTTAATGCTTCCAACAATACGAACTCTAGTTATGCAGACAACAGTAATAAACAATCTGGAAATGGGTACAAAACCTCACAGAACAGAAGAGGAGGATTCGGACAAAATAGATTCGGAAATAATTCCATGCGCAATGACAGGTTAATTTCTTTGCGGATCTATGAAACTGATAGTGTGATTTAGAACTACATCGGGTCCACGCAGCCCTCCTAATTCTCCCAGTAGAAAGAAAAACTTACCTTTCACACGACAGTCAGGTCCTTCTAAAAGTCGTTCTCGATCTCGATCTCGATCGTTCTCGAAGAGCCCTGAAAGATAAAAGAAAATGTTTTATACAACTTGCTTTACCATACTTCCATTCATCATCTTTATTATACACGTTGCCATTTCGCCTGCTTAGCCTCATTAAACCAATGTTCACATCTTTTAAAGAAACTTGATACTTTTTTATTATTTTGTTGAAACCTTCGAGTTATCACTGTGATGCCACGACTTTACAAGGATAATCTTTTATCATTCTAAGTTGTTAGGGGCATTTTGAATAACCTACCCGTCATAGTGACATCAAGAAGAAGACGCTTCAACTGCTTTTGAAGATTGAATAAATATTTTGAAATAGGACAGAACATTTATTACATCATAATGGTACGGAGGGAGTAAGTCACTCTACATTTCTTTTTTGAACAGGTGAGAGAATTGGAAAACTGGCTTTTTCAGAAGTCTGTTCAAGGCATACAACCGGACTGTTCGACCTGATCGTTCTAGGGCTTCAGCTTCATCAGACTTGTCAGAGCGTTGAAATCGAATATATGTTGGCTCTTCTAGAAATATGTTTTTAAACTTCTTAGGCAAAGAGGATATATGTTCGTTTGGTTATTGGAATTTAAACATTTTTTGCTTGGCTGCTGTGCTCTTATAAATCGAATGATTGAAAAATGATATTTCGAGAAATTCTAGGAGCCCAATGTGTCTAAGGCCATTTGTGAATATGAGGAGCATGTAGAACATGTAACGACAACTTAAGGCTATCACAATTGGGCACTCGAACGAAGACGATTTTAAAGTGAGGGTAAGTCTCAATTTGGGACTAAAATATCTTGAAAAGATCATTACCTTCATAGTCATTTGCATACTGCGCTAACATCAACGCCACTGAACTGATAAGAATGAGAAATAAGAGGAAATGTGAAGCCATATCTGAAAACTTTAGCGATTATGAGAGCTTCTTGTGAGCGATAAAATAGGCAAAGTTATTGGAAAGTGAAATAAGCGGCAATAAACATTCTTGTTTCAGGGAAAAATAAGAAAAACAAAGCGTTTTTGTCTTTGCTGAGCAAGGGTCCGGATGTATCATGTTAGTGGAAGGAAGAACATGGTGTCAACAATAGTCGTAAGTTGTTGTAATATAGTGAGAAATGGGCTGTAATCAAGGTATGACATCCATGATACAGACAAAAGCGACTGAGCACAGAACGGCTTCATGTTCTAATCCTTCTGACATCCACGAACGAGACTCGTGGGAGGGACCTGCTCACCATGTTTTCAAGCGTCGGCCTCTCCAGATGAAGAAGGAGAAGCGACATGACATGGCTATACGCAAGTTTAGTCTTTAATAGGGGGTGACGTCGATTCTCATCTCAAAGGTCTGGAAGATGCCTGTCGATAGGCTATCACAAGCCTAACTTTAATAACATTGAAAATGGGAGGAGAGCGACAGCCGGAAAAAGATATGAATGGAGAGATCACAATTAAACTTGAGAGACGGACGGCAATTCAGGATTAAAGTTCTTTTGTGACACTCGAGCATATATCTTCGGCAAACTCAATGCATTCGTAGCCTGACTGCGTTAATTCTTCCATTTCTACAGCCTTCTACTGCAGAAGTATAAGTGTTGAAAACAATTCCAGAGCAGTTTTCTTAAATAATTCAATGTTAAATCCGTTCAAATAACGTTTTTGTGTGGCCCAGTCATATTTTCCCAGAATAGGTTATTCATGGTATTCAGGTGTGGTTTCAGACGCTCGAAGAGTCAGAAAGCTTTCAATATTTTTCTCAATGACAAGATTTCAAACGAAAATTGCCAAATATTTGGAGGGCTGGTAATAAGACAATGGTACTTCCGGTACATAGGTAAACAGCACTGTTTGTCATTTTCTACGCCGTTCTCTAGAAGGCTGATACTTAGCCTTAATGAAGTTCAGGAGTTGGATTAATCTGTTCCTTGCGCACTTTGAACTTCCGAGAGGAAACGCTGACAAGGCTGCAGTTGAAACAACTGCAATACTTCAATCGTCTCATGATGTGAACATTGGATGTTGTAGAAGTGGAACCCTTTCTCCTTCGAAGTTCTAATATCTCAGATAAAAAACCGAAACAATGAATCTCTCATTAAGGCTGACTATTATGAACTCATGATGCCGCTTTGTGAACAGATGGGACGGATTATGAGCATTTCCATCTGACCTGGCGCACAGAGCGGTTGTTTTACCTTATATACCTTGATTGAAATATATTTCTATGTCGGCTCATGGGACACATTGTTTGTTGGGGGCAGCTTTCTTATGATATCTGTATTCGATATATCGAATCTGTCGGATACAATGCCATTGCCCATTAATATTATCATTCTAAAGAAGAGACGGTACCAGTATTTACTTTCTGTGACCGTGTCCTTCTATAAAACACACACTCATATCTTAGTCATCCTCCTCCCATAGCATAAGAACGCCAAATTTGGTCTTATTTATATGATTGTCCTTATTCAAAGCAGTTTTTTGCGAATCAGTAAAACCTTTTCGTATTGAGATGTGCTGATTTGTGCTTTTTACTATATGTATCATATTTTTTTTTCATTTGCAAGCTATTCAAACGATAAGATTATTAGTTATCAAGATACCTTTCCCCCCAGCTCCCAGTTTCAAATAACCTATCAACGCATCATTGTCAGAATGGTGTACTTTGACATTTCCTATTTATAAGATTTTTTCAATGACTAAAATTACTTCTGATTATTGTCGTATGTCGACCTCGTCAATCCAAGCATATCCCGATGCGTCATTAGCTTACAAATACAACACGTACAAGCAAGACGCCGTTTGAATAAATTTTGGCGGGAAATTAGGAAATTAAGACATTCCAGTTTACTGCTCGCTAATTAATGTTAAAAAGCACGGCTGTCTGTTGCATTTCACATTTTCTTATTAATTTCCTAATTAATTTCCTAATTAATTTCGTAATTTCTTGTCTTCAGGGTTTCGAAACTATGGACTACCTATTGGATAGGTATGTTTTCGATTTTATGCCATTCGATGTGTCAGGCGAGACAAGAAAGGCCATTGGACAGAGAGCTTTATCTGTTGTAATGGTAAGCAAAATTAAATAATATATTATATTTATATTATTGTTATAGTGGGCTGATTGGCTTTGCAAGTATCAAGATCCCTTCAAGATTTTCGAAAACCATACTTCGTTTCTGCTTGGTGAACTCTTGTTCTTCATCCTTTGCGGGTTGACGTTCATGCATGGTATGTTCCTATTTCAAATGTCCGTCTAGCTAGTCATATCTTTTCAGCTTATCGTCATGGAAATCGTTATATGTTCGTTTGGATTGGAATTTTGATTCATGCTTTGAATGTTGAGAACTTATGCTATTGGATTCCTGACATGGATAACTTCTGGCAAGCACAGGTTAGTTTCCTGTGTTGCACTCTCTTCCAATAACATCGTTATTAGGGCATTTTAACTCTATTCGGTATGAGAGCACCTCTTTATATCATTCTGGGCATTTACCATATGTTTGATTACACCGCATATGTGATGGTTAGCAGGTTAGATAGATATACAGGTTAACCCGAGACGTTTTTTTGTTTGCAGACTCCGTCTCCCCTGGTGGGCCGAAGGACCTGCAGTGGGGTTATGCGCTGTGATGTTAGATATGCCTTATGATATAATGGGTATTAAAGAAGTTTGGTGGACTTGGCACGATACCGATCCCAATATTTACGATAGAATGTATTGGGTACCATGGAACTCATACTACTTCCATGCATCTTTCGCTTGCTCATTCGTATGGATTCTCAATGCTTCAAGATATTACTTGGTTGATGTTGAATATGATTGGAAAAAGTGAGGGTTTGGTCAAGGTCATTTTGCATTGCTGTTCTTCAGGTTCCCAAGAGAACTTCTCTGCTCTTTCTTGGCAGGAATGGGTGCTTTCTGGTTAGGAACTATCCAGTTTGCCGTTCTCTATCATCCCCTTCATGACATGTTCGGAGTTCACACGGAAATCACAACTATACTCTTCTTGGCTACTTACATCGTGATCGTGATCACCGCCGATAGAAGAAATAATAATCCTGCAGCCCGAACTGGTGAGTTCGAAACGATTTTTTATAATTATATGTTCCTCGGTTTTAGGTAACAAGTATTGGTTTGATGAGCTCGCGTGTGCTATTGCCCTTGAGTACCTGTTCTTCATGATTCTCGTAGTCATCGGAAACCCTGTTAATGTTGTCAGCGAAGGATTGCATCAAACTATCGGAAACTGTAACGACTTACAACAAGTACATACGCCTACCGGAATGGTAAGTGTTTAACAACAATTGGTGAAGTGAAGCTCTAATTTATAGATTCTTCAAAAGAAAAAGTATTTATGTATTAACAACTATGATGAGAAGTACTTTGACTTCCATTGCTTGCCCGGAGGCGCCGTGAAAATGGTATTGTTGTTGTTTATTTACGCTAGATATAAGATGTAAACTTAAGCCTGAAGATGGAAGCCCTCTGGAATGGTATGCTATCTGTGGAACACAATATAAAAACAGAGCTGAATACATAGCCATCATATGGTAGTTCAGTCGCAACATCTTCAATACTGTTTATCATTCAGGGGAATCTGTATCTTGTATGGTTTCATCTTCTATCAAATTGCTGCTAAATCCGGAACAACTCCTATTGTTCCTGTGAAGGTATTCATTGAAATAGAATTAATATATGATAATCTCTTGTTTCAGAGATATCAGAAAGTTACTGTGGTTAGAGACAAGATCAACTCTCCAGAGACTAGCCGCAGCACTCCTTCCAAGAAGGCATCTTCAACTACGCCTGATAAGAAAAAGGTCAAAACTAACTGAAAGTCCTTGTTATTTATTTGTGACTGGTCCTAATTTATAATATCTGTTTGTTTTTTCTAATTTGCTTGTCTGAATGCTTGTTGAAGAGAAGACCATGCCTTTTTCGGCTATGGCACGACTACTACGCATGTCTGTCTTTATGCTAATTAAATTATGTTGGAATTGCACTTAAGTGTAAAATACAGTTTATAAATGTAAAATGTTTCTTTTCAGACATTGACAACCCCTCCCATTCCCCGTAGGATTTTTTCTGAGCCTCAATCGCACAAGGAGTTTGTAGCTCCTTCAATTCCCAAATACATGACTCCCCGTGCTTCTTCGATGATCCCGGAGACCCCAAGTAGAACATTGCGTGAGAGAAGAAAAATTTCTTACAAAGAATAGAAACGTTAAGAAGATTTGGACAGGTGTAACCTTTTAAACTGGTGTGTGTGTTAATATAATTGTTAATCCATTCGAAATGGACTTGTAAGCTTGAAATGTTAATATCAACTTTATTAATTAAACTAGCATAAATCTACCGTAGATTAGTTTATAACCCGTTTGTGGAAAACGAAATTTCGTTACCCGTATACCTTGTACTAGGTTAGAACTCTATGAATCACATAATTCTAGCTGGCGATTATCTAAGGAATCGAAAAGTTACTCGCTACGTCATCCAGTATTACAACCTCGTCATGTAAATTACTGACTCATCCGAACTGGAATCTTCCGAATCACTCCTAAGAACACTATTGATGGTAGCAGGTAAGTATGGCGTTTTTTCATCTTCCATGTCAGCTTGAAACAGAATGGCTCTGGGGTCTGTTGGTTTCACTTCTTTTCTAATTGGACGCTCTGCTTCTTCGTTCTCATGATCTTCTCTCTGAAATGAACAGAAGTGTGAGGAAAGGTCATTATAAGTTACCAAAGGTGGTTCAAAGTGACAGGACTTCCATATTATAAACTTGGATGTGTCTTTATATCTCATTTTGATATAATCACGCACTTCAGGTTCTATGAACTCATCGTCTCTATTCAAGAGCTAGAAATAATTGAAGATGGAAAGTAATTTCATCGCAGACTTACTTGAAAACTGAGTGCTCGTTTTAGCATGGAAGTTTGAGATGGGCGCCTTTGAGGGAGGTGCATTGTACTAGAATGTTTGCCATTTCTATGTGAAAACGAAGTCACCGAATCGGATTTCCACATAGATTAAGTTCCTAAAAAGTTGTTCTTAAGAGTTTAGTTCGCATTGAACATTCAAACGAATGGTGTTGATCAATAAGAACCATGATAAGGAATTTAGAAACTATGAGACGCAGATAAATGACTCGAGAGTAAGGCTGTATGCAATGAGAAGGACAGAATATGTTATCAGCAGTTTGGGAAAAGTGCCGGTGAGGTTCAAAATTGTTTACACTGAAGTGTCATAAACAATGTTCTCTCGGATAGTTTCAGTATTTCAAGACCATCCTATGACATATGAGAATATGAACGAAGAGTTGAATGAAAGATGTGAGGCGAAAAGGTCATACAACAAAGGTCTACATGGAGATGAGCGCTAAAGCTATTTTTGTTTAATAGAATAGCCGATGTAAATAGGTGAAACAAAATGCCAGCCGGCATGGATCATATTTTTTGGAAACTTGATACTTATGGATGGATTTGCTGTTTTTACAATCACTGTTCCATAGAATGGAAAGATAATTCGTTTATGACAGGATAGAAGTACGAGTATGGGCACGTTTACTTTCAATTGAACTTAATTTACTTCGAATGCAACCGGTCAGTGCGGCGGAAAGTAGTAAAATGAAACTGCTAGTAGCGTGTGCCTTGTTATGTAATGACACGTGGAAAATTCACGCTAGCGTGATTCAACGTTTCCCTATGAGTTCATTCATTCACCATGGAGTATTGCTATTGCCTACGTGTACAACTAAAATTGAAAAGATATCTACATATTCTTGCGGCACTTTGCAAATGTTGTTTAAAAAGCTAACTGGAATCAATGTGTGCCGAAATGTGAAAGAAAGAAAAGAAGCATGCACAATAGCATGTCTAAATTGGTAGGAAGCTGTGCGGGAAGACTTAATCGCTCGAGATTACAAGGGAAGCAGTTGACATTAGCGATGCAATGAAGATGTCACTCGTAATGAAAGTGTTTGATGCTGTGCGAAAGCTGCTCTGCGAATTCAAAAAACTGCAGCTTTGTCAATGATTCCCACAAGTCAAAAAACTTTAAATGCATTTTAGAGGTCCGCGAGGGAAGAAGAATTTTTAACGAAGCATGACTATTGTGAGAAGTAAGTTTCCATTGAAGCAAACAACCGAATTTGTAAACAAAATTCTGCTGAACTCCGAATCGAATCTGGATTCCGTTGGTTCGAACAACAAGGAGGGAATAGGATTGGGATTAAGTTGGTAGTCTGAGGACTCAACCAACGGACATGTTCTGATAAGAGAAGTACATGACAGAAGAAACGTCTCGTATCTAGATCCGTTGTAAAAAAAAAGAAGAAATCTGACAATCGAGATAAAATATGCTAAGAGCAATGTGCTAGTTTTGACGTCTGACAAGATTTTCGGAAAATACGAAAACAATCCGTCAATAACAACATCACACAATGTTTTTTTGAAGGCTATTATGAAATCGGAGGCTGTGCACTGTTGGACTTAAACGTTTCAAAGAGATATGGGATAGCTTCGAATCCAATTACCGAATTCAGAGATAGAGAAGGTTCAGCGTTTCAATTTATTTTATACGTTCGGCTTGAATTGATCCGTTAACTTGTGGGGACTGCAATAATGAGCAGAAGGCTTCTGTGGAAACTCAAGACTGACGGACAAGGGTGCTAATAAGAAGATCTTAATTGAAGTAGGTGCTGGTGATTCATAAGTGGTTGATGCGTAACGCGTTTGTATTTTTTAGTTTATATTATTTCTTAGTTGCTAGGAAAGTAACTCAATCACAACAATTGCATAATGACGAGGAGGGGCCGCATGATGAATTATGGAGAGAAAAAGAGAGAGAGGATGGTGTGCATATCAGTATTATCATAGATGAACGATATGAGATGAGAAGAGCACAGGGAGCGATTAGATCTTCTAACCCAAGAGCAATTGAAAGAAATTCAGAAACTGTCTAGTCGGACAGCTGTTCTTCTTCATTTTAACAATGCGAATGAAAAGGGAAAAAGCATGTTCGTTATTGAGGGAGTTTTTTTTGAGAGAAGAGTTGATGTCTTGTATAGCAGTTGTCAACAAAGGGAAGGAGTATTCTTTCGGTTTTCAAAAACATGGTGAATCCTATTTTCATGTGTTATAGCAGCAACCTTGGAGAAGCTTCATTTTAAAGTCCAATCAAGGTCTTACTTCAGGAGAGTATCTATAAAACATCAGCATGTCTCCGTGAAATGAAACAATGCTGCCAGAAGGTTGACTTTAAACTTTGCCTTCGGCTTTCGAAACAAACAGGAAAGCTAACATGAATGACACCAGCGTAAACATACTAATGGACATGAGAAGTTGTTCAACTTCTAATTTATTGTGAAATAAAGTTATTAATGAGAAAATGTTAGAAAACTGGGCTTAGGGTGGGTCAAACGTAGAAAGAACATCAATACACTGATGAGAAGAGAAGGGAAAATGAGAGAAAGGCCAGTCTAACTGCTGAACTACTTCTTCCGTTCTTCACAGCCCATTCTCTCATCCCCAAAAGACAACTGGGTTATGGCAAAATAGTTAATTAAATGGTCATGGATAGCGAAGAACGAAGGAGGAGAAATTGAATGAACAACGTATGTGCAAGGAGAAGGAGGAGAACAAACAGCTGATCAGTTAACAAACTATCGACACATCCGATCATTTCAATAGGAACTCCGCAAGACTTCGCTTCCGCAAATAATCCGACCCTCCTCGGACTCACCCTTCTTTCTATTAATACCAGATGTCATTGAGCAAATAAAAACGTTTTTATTACACGTTCATTCTAAATTTCATTTTTAAAAAATGGCACATAACTTAGTAAATCGTACAAGTTGTTTGTGAAAACAAAACAAAAAAGATAAAAGTACCCATTTAGAGTTTCCGTGAGATCACCAGTCCTGCTGGGTTTCATGTCTTAAGAAGCTCCATACTTCCTCATCCAATCTTCGTACTCTTGAACACTTTCCTGAAGTTTATTATGCAAGAGAGGCAAATTATTCAGTCTTACTATTGAAACTGAAGGATTGGTAGAACTTAATGCTTCTTGGAAGTGTTCCATTGTGATAGGTATATCAAAGGTGTTAGGCTTATCTTTAGACATCTGAGTGATTTGGTCGAAAGAGAGACCTTTGGTTAATCTGAATTACTCATGTCAATTTCAGGATGAATTGATCTTCAAACCTTGAAAATCCGACGAAAGCTGCCTGTCTGCAAACGTTGAGAACATCTGCTCCAGAAAAACCTTCCAAGAGTTCGGAGATTTGTGGGAGAGACAACTCCTCACATACTTTCATCTGGGTAGCAAGCACGAGTTAACAAAGAAGGTTGAGCTACATCACTTACTTCTTTTAAAGCTGACTCTAGTAAAGCTAATCGGGTTTCTTTATCAGGTAGAGGGATGTATATTCTTTTTTCGAATCTTCTTCTTAAAGCCTCATCTGAAATGATTGTCAATCAGAACCAGGTACTACACACGCATCGGTTACCTAAGATCCAAGGATGGTTAGTAGCTGCTAAAACGAAGACGCGTTTGGTTTCGTCGGAATTAGAGAAACCGTCCATTTCTACAAGTAGCTGAGCTTTCAACCTTCTACTAGCTTCGTGCTCATTAGCGCCTCCTCTTTGACTTCCAATCGTATCGATTTCATCAATGAAAATTGTTGATGGAGCATAGTGCCGAGCCTACATAGAAGTACTCAATAATTCTGTGTTCAGAGCTTACCATCTCAAATAATAATTTCACCATCTTCTCGGCATCTCCTCTCCATTTACTAGCTAAGTCTCCACAAGCAACCGAGAAGAATGTTGTTTTAGACTCAGCAGCAACAGCTTTCGCTAGTAAAGTCTTTCCTGTCCCTGGGGGGCCAACCATGCAAACAGCTTTCCATGGTCTTCTCAAGCCCTTGAAGAAAAACATATCACCAGAATAAAAAAAAAGTTACCTTGAAGAAGTCGGGCATAATGGATGGTAGGATAACTGTGTTAATGAAAAGGTCCTTCGTGGATTGTAGTCCAGCTACAGAATCCCAAGTAACATTCGATAAGTTTCGAAGCATAGTGCTTTCCATGATCGTGACTAAGTCCTGAAATGAGATCGATGAGGAACGTCTAGACTTACACTGTTACCCTGTCATATCCGAGACTGATGAAGTATTCCTTATCATTATCTTCTTTCTCCATAGATTCATCTTCCGGTTTTGTAGCGTCTTTATTTAAGTCATCATAGCTGAAATCATAAAACGTTCTCTAGCGTATAACCCATGATGATCATACCCAGGTCTTCTTTTAGGAGGAGCTGCAGGTGCGGGCTTCTTAGTGGGTTTTCCAACTTCCTTCTTTCCTTCATTAGCTCTGGTAATCTACAAAGTTGCTTTCAAAAAATGGTCTGAAGAACCATAACGGAATGACTTACACGGGGTGGCTTGGAGGCCCTGTTTCGATTAACAGATTTCGAACGGCTTCGATCAGGCTCAGGCCAAACCTTCAAAACCATTTTAGTATTAACAGGTTTTGGATGACATAGCATACGTTAGGATCTGCTGGAGGTGCCTCTGGTGTTGAAGCTTCTAGAATCAGCTTCTCGTTCAATAGAATATCGTTCTCTTTCAGTTTGCTCCTCTCTTTCTCCAACATGGCGATTATCTATTAATGAAGAAGCGAATGAAATATTTTATAGCGTTCGTTGACTCACTTTCTCGTATATGTCCATGTCCGAAGATGGAACAGTTCTCAAGACGGTGGTTACTTTTCGTATAGCTACATCGTAAAGATCTGCTGCTTCTTTATAATCACCATCTCTGAGTGATCGTCTGCATGCTTCCACAGTCTCATACACTTCCCTCCCAGCCATGCTTAAAAGAGAATGGTTTAGCATATGAAGCAGTCTTCAAATGAGTCATAAGATCGAGAAAAAGATTCCTTGGAGGCTAAAAAAAGGATTAGAACAAAAAAAGTTCGAGCAAAGAAGAAAACAGCCGCATGATTCTTGATTTTCCAGAGTATGGTAACAAGCATATTGCACCAAGTAAGGACTGGCACAGAGTATACGCAAGGCGCATACATTGACTCATGTTGTGAACATGCAAGATGCTGAAACTCTTTTAGACTATTTGAGAGCTTTCTCAAGTTGATAGCTTTCTTGTTCTATCCATGTCTATTGTCTCTCATAAAGCTATCGTATTCAATCTTTAACTTGCTGCGCTCTTTTCGTTTCATTGCTTGTCTTACTGCATCACATAGTCTCCATTTCAGAAACTCTAATAAACCTGAACTTATCACAATTTACAAAAATGAAAGTTAAAACGTAAAACACTCCCATTTAACTCTCACTTACATTCTTTTCCAGTAAAAAAACAGAAGAAGAAATCCAAAAAGCTTTGTTCGAACCATTACCCAAAGCCGCGACGAGTAGAGTTTGGGAGGATGCAAACCCATCGTGGTGTGAACTTTCAGAGTTCCGTCTTTATACTAAAATTGTTGAGCACAAGCCAGCAGGTACTTAAGGAATACTCGTAGCATTTGACATTTCTATTTTTAGGAATTTGTAAACAGTTTAACGTAATGGCTTTGGTTGATTTCATGAACAACATATACGAAGATGAAAACGCCGATTTCGACGAGCTTTTAAGTCCTGACGATTTGGAAAAGTTGAAGAAGAGGAGGGAAAATCCTGATCCAGAAAATATTCTTGTTTTCCGACCAAAATATCGCATCCGACCAACAACTGACCAGGCATGTTGACCACAAACTGACTTTCTCATTCCTCTACTCGGTTACAGATTTTGGAGAAAGTGAAAGAGTTGTGGGATCTCGATATAATTGAACACAATGAGTACATACCAGAACGGATTGAAGTTCAAGACGAATTTTATTTACCAGCAGGAGATTTTTCAGAACTTTTAAGGAAAAAAGTAACTGAACACATATATAATATGTAATTAATACAACAAAATGATTCAGGAAGACAGTACGTCTCTAATGCCAACAAGAAAAAAACGAAGAGGTGGATCCCCAGATTCATTTAGCTCAAGATGTAGCACACCTGCTATGCGCAGCTAAACCTCAATTCATGTACAAACAATAAATATTGATTATGTCCTTAAGCACATTTGTTTCAAGCCATGTTTCATCATGTAGAAGCATCGGAATTGTTGAAAAAACGTAATGGAATTGAATAATTCAGTTATTCTTCTGCTCGACGTGTCCACGACAATGTCCAGTTTCACAATCCTGAATCATTGAAACTGAAGTTGATATAAGAAAAACAGTCTTACGGAGTCAGAATCACTACTGCTATCTTGCCAGTTCTTAGGCTTCTTGTAGATACAACAGCACTTGCTCTTCTTCTTGTTGGCGAACTCGTTGTCGACTGAAAGATCACGATGAAAGGATAAATTAGTTATGGTTCGAACCTGTATCAGTAGTCCAGCTCACGTGTGGTCTCTCAGCAGTTTCAGGTTGAGAAGAAAGATGCAGAACCAGACCAGTGTCGTCCTGAAACTTGTCCTGTGAGTTATGAAAATATGAGAAATCTCACCTGAGTCAACGTCTGTGTAGTCGTGATGGTTGGAGCTTCTGTATTAGTTGTAGACGACATAATTGGCTGTAAATATGAATCAATAACTAAGTGACTTCTAGTTAGAACTTTTGAAGGAGAGCAAGGGAGAAAATGTTCCTTGTATATGGGGTGTGACAAACAACATTTTCATTCAAACGACATGTATTTGAATTCGAACTTATATTGAATGATACTGTAAGTGAAGCTAAATCGGAAATTTCAATGATAATATTACCATATCTATGTTTTTGTGTTTATTAATATGTAATTTATGCTCAAACACGGTAGTAGAACTATTTTTTTATAATTTTAGCAAAACATGGCGCCTGCGAAACCTAAGAAACATGACGCCATGATGATAGCTATTGACTGTGGTGAAAGTATGGCTGAAGATGAATCACCAGGGACCTCATATTTCGAGCTTGCCAAAGAGGTTTTAGACTGGATTGTCTCACGGAAGGTTGGTGGTGTTACAAAACCTTCATTACATTTTTTTAAAGCTATTTTCCATGTCGAAAGACAAAATAAATATTGCTCTGTGTAGCACAGGCACACCTGAAGACTCAAATTCACTGAAAGTTCGTTTCTACGACGACATGTATCAGGATGTTAACTTTGATCACCTCAAGTTCATCAAAGATGAAGTGTGTTTGAACCGCAATACTAGCAGAAGCATGGGTAATAGCTCTCGAGGGCGCAGTAAGGGCATCTCATTGCAGGAGTTTCGGCGATAAAGTCAATTTTGAACAAAATGATAGAACATATTGATGAGAATGAGGGTGTTTCTGGAAGGTCTCTAATTCTGATTAGCAAAACGTTTGCTCATCCTTATAAAGACCAAGCAGAGCAGTTCGGCGTGATCAAGAAAATCATGGATGACCTTGGAATAAGCTTGACTCACATGTAAGGTGCTCGGGATGTCCAATCTGACCTGTTTCCTTTTCAAGCGGAGGACGTGAAAATGATAAATCAAGCGGAATGGAATTCTTTAGATCTTTGTGCAAAGCTGTGGATGGAAGCTTATTAGGGTTTCGGCAAGTTTCATACTCTGTGGAGAGATTTAAATTCATTCGTTCATAGGGAAGTCGGCTCTGCGCTTGAACGGTTCAGTCATCCAGCAGTTGTTCCAAGAACTTTTCAAAAGTATCTAGAGATCGCCCCTGGAGTCAGGTTACCTTTATCCATGTTTGTGAGAGTTACTGAAGCAAAAAATCCTCTCAAGAAACATGTGGTCGATGGTTCGGGTAATGAGGTACGTAATCGTATGCTTTATATAGCTAGAGATACTCTCAGTTCAAAAGACAAACCACTTTTGTTCGGTTGAACGAAGGTTCAAGTAATGAGGTACGTAATCGTATGCCTAATATAACAGGAGATACTCTCCCGACGGATCCAACCCCTGATGTTTCTAACGGCGAAGCAGTTTCAAAGGATAACCATGTTTATGGTGAACATCCTATGAGATTCACTTACTATCTTTTTTGTTCAAGGATACGCATTTGGAAGTTCGAAAATTGTTATTGACCCCGAGATCGAGCAAGATCTTTATGGTAACCATAACTTCAATGAAAAAGAGAAAGGAGGTTGCCTGAAGTTGATCCAATTCACTCCTTTGGATAATGTGGTTCTCCTCTTTTGGCTTTGTTATCCGAGATTTTCCAGATCTTGCCCAGTTATCTCATTGGGAACAGCTCCTACTTGTTAATACCAGGATGCGACAAAGATTCCATGAAAGTATCTGCTAGTCTAATCGCTGGAATGTTAAAAGAAGGAGTTGTTGCAATCTGTAGATTTGCCCCTGATGTCTCTAAACACATTTCACTAATGTGCCTTGTTCCAAAGCATAATGAGCAGAATGGATATGTGAGAACGAGCTCAGTTCGTGTTAAATTCGTATATTTATAGCATTTCCAAGGTGTAAAACTTCCATTCTTTGAAGACTGGAGATCTTACACATTGCCTTCCTTGGAGTCAATAGGAAGCGCTCCTAACGGTAAGATAATTCATAGCTAACTCGAAAACGTTAGTGCTACAGGAGCTCAACTTCAATTGGTCGATGAGCTCATCGACTCCATGAATCTCAGTGGAACGTACGTTCCCCACTTTTATCCTGTAAAGTTTGCATATGCTGTTCAGAACTTTCAACAACGAAGATATACCTAATCCTCATTTCCAACATGAATGTATGTTGCTGAAGCAAAAAGCCCTTGAGCTGCCTGGTGAGTACCTTACTTACATATCTAGTTAGCGTTTATTCTCCAGGTGAAATCGAAACTTCAAAGTTCTTGCAAAGATACCTAGAGCCTAATCCCACTCTTCTCCAGCAGGCACAGTTAGTTGCTGTCTGTAGAACACAAGGAACTTGATGTTCAGGCATGTTTTTGATTCATTCCTGGATGCTGATAACAGAAATGGTTTCCATCTTGAACGTGTAGTGAAATCGAAAAAGACTGCGGAGGAGATAATTCCTGATCCTAAGTAGGGTTTTCTTCTCTTCTGGTATTTTTTTTCTTTCAGAGATCATCTGAAAGCTGTTGAAGTACAAGAGAAAATGGAAGTAGATACCGAAGGCAGTCCGCAGAAGGTTTCTTACAAATAATTAATCGCTTTCAAAGAGCACTCCAGTCCGAAGCAACAAGTAAGCTTATGAGAATTGTCCAAAAAGCTTTGGATAATGGTGGCGCGGCTGTGCATGAGTTGTTGCTTGGTTTAGGAATTCAAATGAAACTCTTTGATGAATCTTCCTTGGTTTGGTTTTTTTCTTACTCTCCTTTAGGTTCTTAAATCTCAGAGCGTGGTGCAAGACTTCATACAAGTCCGTAATAAGTTCTCAGAGACTGAAAGGTTTTCTGAGTTCAATGCTTGGCTCTTCACCATTCATGGCAATGACGACTACCACGATTTCAACCAATACATGGACAGACGTATGTCAAATAATGTAGATATCTTCATCGTAGTTCAGACTGCTACCCATCCCTCATCACTGTCGACGAAAACTGCAAGTCAGAGTACAATGAAGTTGAGTCGCAGATGTACTGGTCAGGAATTTTGGACGACAAAAAGAATATTCTGTGATAATTATGTACATTTCTATAAATATATATGCGATATGCTCTTTGTACATGCTGCTCGGTCGCCAGAACCTCTCCTTACCTTCACTTGATGTCTGTCATTCATAAGTTTTTCTTGTGTTTCAGCTCAATATGGATGTGGACCGTCGCTCATGTAGTGTAAGTGTTGTCTATCTCTCCGTTTTTCAAAGCTTCTTCAGGACCTAGATTGTGGGAGATTTGAGTTCTTCCCTCTCAAGACCAAATTTGGCTGTAGTACGTTTGTTTATGAAACAGCCGTCTTAGATGTTGCGCGAAACGACGAGATCTTCTCAGGTCAGGAAATAATGGTTCGTTATTCTGTACAAGCTTCCAATTGAACCACAATTCAGGAGTTCGAAAGAAAGATTAAGAAGGATGGACAGAAATATATAAGCTTAGCAGATTTAGTGGTATGTTGGATTCAATCCATTCTCTCATCAAACGTTCGTGTTAGAGTTTACTACCGGCTGCATCAAAAGCTCTAAGGAGAGCCTTCAAATTCATTGTCTCTCATCCATACGAGTTTACACGAGGAATCAATTTTACGAACGAAGATAGAGGATTGTTCTCCTGTGAGAGAATATGTAAGGACTCTTAGCAGCTAGAGATGTAATAAAAATAACTTGTCTAGGCTCTTTCCTGTACTGGTATCAAATGAAATGTACCCAAAGGACATCGTTGATCAATTTTGCTGCAGATGTCGATGAGATAAATATAGAGGTGACTCAATCTTCCATCTCTTTGAGCAACTTCTGCTATTTCAGAGACTCTATGAGCTGGCAGATCAACTGATCACAGATAAGATGGCATTTCTAAGCTCTGCTTCCGTAAGTTTTTGCTTAGATGGATTCTAGCATCATCTATCTTCAGAACATCGAAAAAAAATGTTATGACGTCATCATAAAAGCAGGAATCATGACATACTTCGGCAGTCGTGATAACATCAGAATTGTGGTAATGGAGCTCACCAAGTACGACATGCTCTATACTCGATGTTTCAGGATCTTCTTCTGTCTAACTTACTCGACGAAGCTTGTTTTGCTGCCGATGTTAGTAACGCTGATGACCTCAACGTCAACCCTCTAATGAATTGGTTGTCAACCTGTTACGGATATCCCTCATACTTTCTTGCAGGTTCTCTTATCAAAGTTTCTCCAAAATTCTGAAAGAGTATCGCTTCTGTGATATCAGCAGACAAGGCCTGTTACGTGTATCAGATACATCGCGAATGTTCGGGTTAGAAGAGAGAAGTTATTTGACCATTCCGAATCTGTTTTACAGAGGTATTTTCAACCCTGTGTTCATACGTGGAGTCTTCCGAACATCTAGCACTTACGAAACAGAGCCTGATTCTAAAGGAGCCAAACAGAAGGCACTCGATTTTCATGTAAGCTAGTCGAATGCTTGCGATCGCAAAGAATGTTTTCATTTACAGCTTTTCGTCACAGCCTTGAGAGCTGTCAGATATATTTCCTCCGTGTTCCCAAATGAAGTTTCCATAACAGTAAGCTACAGTTATACTACTCATCGCAGTATTTTTCACAGGAAAAGACATCTGTACGATACGTTTTTAACTGTCTCGATGAGGATGTAGCAGGTTATTTAACTCGTCAAAACGTTTTGCATATCGTAGGTAGTAGTTGGTCTATAGAGTTATGTGGCTCGTTGTAGGTTTACAATAACATCGAAAACGCTAAGACACTCAACTTCATCGATGATGTGGACGAAGAAAGCTTGACAGATGAGATATTCGATATGGTAAATCCTGAGCTGGAAGACAGGTATTAGTTCTTTCATAGTTTTTGAGTAACAATACCATTCTCAGAATAACTGTGAATGATCTGTTCCGTTCTCGTCAAGCCAATTTGATTCTGGGCATTATGATAGATGCCAGACAGTTTGTCGATTATGAGAATCGTGAAGCAACCTAAAGCACATTTCAATGACATCTGTATTATATCAGGCATAATGTTCGTGTCATATCATTGTAATATTCGTATGTTTTCCATGAATCACAAGATATCCATTACTCCATTGATGGCATTCCTGTTGTCTGGGTTTTAGTTTTGAACTATTGTATGAGAAGTTCTAATCACAGTTCTCCCTGGACGCTAAGAGATCTCGTAGTTTAAAAACCTCTATGCATGCCATCTTCTTATCACCTTTTGTATCATGTATTGCTAGGAAAAAATGAAATGAGATATTCCATGTCTTCCATATTCAAAGGAAACGCCGTATAGCTCGCATATACTGGTTGAGATCTAACTACGGTCATTTGATCCAAAATCTTGTTCACTAGGTAATGGCGCTAACATAACTTCGAAGATTTTTACAACCATTGATGGACAGGATAAAGCAGTCTGGACAATGAATTTCGGAAACAAACAAGCCAAGCTTGCCGCAGTATTAGGCAAACGCAAGATAGTCTACGTGGACCTAGCAGCTATTCAAACAAAGTTCAATTAGCACCTCCTGATAGTTTGGAATTTATTAGGATATGGTTAAAATATATGTTCCAGTTTCTAAGACTCCGATATTCACAGCTCCTTCCTTCAGTTACATAAATTACCTGAAGCACATAGTTTTCGTCTATGGAATCGACATTGTGTCTATCATTGTCTCAATAGTATGAAATCCTTACGATGCATCTTACTATGCTGTTTCAGGTGGTTTTCTCAAAGTTACTTGATTATATCTTCCCGTTGAACGAAGACGCATCTGCCGAATTGAATGTTTTCAACGCTCGTATCATTCCTGTAGAAGACTTAGGTTCAAGCAATGAAGAGTTCATAACAGGGGAGACCGTTATTCCCGAGAAAACAGTGAATTGGAAACAAATAGCTGAGATACGTGAACATCTTAGACAGCAGGTTTGATCTTAAGCCTGTTTGAAGAAATGTATTAACTCTGTTGAAGCCGAAGACACTCCAGGAAGAACTCTGCAGCCAGGGTGTTTGTTATCAAGTGTATGATTATTCGTCTGGAACTGATTACGAGTAAGTTAACAAGAAACTGAAGAGGGAGCAATCGCTTGCGTTGGACGTATGTCGAAAAATAATACAGAATCCACGTGAAGTCAAGTGGTCATTGCATAGAAAGACTGGCAATGTGTACTCATCAATCAGTTTAGGTCGACTATGCAACGTCGTCTAGTTCAGACAAAGGGAGGCAAGGAGATGAATTTAGGAACAGCTGAATTGCAGATACCTGAAGGTCTTTCCAAGCAAATTCTTTTATACTTGCTGTTTTGCAGAGTTGTCGTGGGCCAATGTTAATACCTCAACATGGAACATTCACACTCTCGTTATTGTTTCCCAACATACGAAAGCAATGATGGCTTCAGCCTTCTTCACAGAG